ACGGGGTGGAGCGTGTCCGGGCGCTTTCTGCCCCGTCTGCCTTAAGGCTCCCCTGGCCCCAAAGAGCCGTGGACCAGCACCACAGCCGCCATTCAAGGTCCCAAGACCCCACCCCCGATCCCCATTCTGCTCCAAACCGCTGCCACTCTGCTGCGCACCAGCACCGGCCAGCCGCACCTGGGGTTGCAGGCCACCCAGGGCATGACACCCCAGGCGCTCTTCAGCGCAGCCACCACCTCGCCTCGGTCCGCCGTCGGCGCCGAGATGCCGGCCTGAGCCAGCGGGGCCTGCAGCGCGGCGGAGGTGGCAGCGGTGCAGGCGGGGTGGGCACACGCCAGGAGGGGCGGCCTCTGGCCTGCGTGGCTCCCGCTCGGCGAGGCCCATGCCTGCTCGCCTCCTCGGCGGCTGCCGCGAGGGAACACGCCGCTGCTGCGCTCCGGTCAGGCCCCACCTCCCCTCTGCCATGCAAGCGCGCAAATCTTTCCTGGCAGCAGCACATCAACGCCAACACGAAAAGCAGAGCCAGGGCAGCAGCAGGGCGGGCGGGCGGCTCACATTGGCGTTGAAGAGGTTGTAGGAAGCTGCCAGGAAGGTGAAGTACTGGCTGATGTTGAGCCCGCTGCACCTGCCCTCCCCATTCCACACCGCCTCCCAGGCGCCTGCGGCAATGGAGCTTTTGAGGGAACGGTGAGACGTGGCAGGCGGCAGCGGGTGGGCGAGCGCTGGTCCGCACGCGCGCATGTGTGGGTGCAGGAGTTGTTGCGCAGCGCGGCAGCAACCAAGGACATGCGCGCTACCCCCAGCAGCCCTCCCCCATCCCCGCGGCGCCGCTCACTCTCTGCAGCGCTCAGCACGCACAGCAGCTCGGCTTGCACCTCCTGCATAGAGCAAGGGTGGACACAGGGCGCAGGTCAACGACTACCTGCCCTGCCCTGCTCCAAACCCAGAAGTCTAACCCTGTGGCATTGTCTAGCCGGCTGGCGTGCACCCGGCCACGGGTTGGCTGTTTACGGGCCGCAGCCACCCCGCCACTGCCGCCTGCCTGCTCCTGCTGCTGCTGCTGCTGCACCAAGCCAATGCTGGGGCACACACCGCTGGGATTTGTGCGGCGTCAAAGTCGGGCCCCGAGCACCCGGCGAGCCCCTGGGTGTTGTCCATGCTGGGCGCCAGGTCTCGTACGGTGAAGGCGCCGCTGCGGGGCAGCCAGCCACGCCACGCGGGCGCCGGTGAGCAGCGGCAGGCGAGAGGGGCACATATGCAGCGCGGCATGCGCGTGGGGTGAGCCGCAGGGTGAGGTGGCCAGCTGCGCCGGCAAGCAAGCACACACGCACTAGGACAGCTTGTTGCCGCATGCGGAGTTGGCGCAGGCCGGGTCATCGACCCAGTTGGGCGCCCAGTCCCTGCGCGGCAGCAGCAGCAAGTTGTGGGTGGCGGTGGCGGCGACGAGTGGCAGCGAGCGGCCGCCTGCCTGCAGCGCTCATGGCGAATCCCTGCCTGCCAGGCCGTTTTTCGCGCTGCCTGCTCGTGCACAGGCAGCAGCGCCGGGCCGGGGCACTCACTGGCGCAGAAGCAGCAGGTCGTAGGCAGCGGCTCTCGCGGGGGTGGCGCAAACCAGCGCCAGGGCGATCCACAGCACTGCCAGCGCCCGGAACGACATCTTAAGACGCCCGTTGGGCTTGCAAGCAGACGCAGGCGACGGGGGCCGCGCTCGCAAGAACAACGCGGCTTTTATATTGAAGCCATGAAGACGATGCAGTTTAACACTGTTCACTGCGAAGGGCAGGCTGAGGGGGGTGGGGGGCGGACAGGTGTCAAGCCGACAGGAGTTGCTGAGTTGGCGGCGGGCGGGGGCGCCGGAACACTGTGGGAACCTGCAGGGTGCACTGCGGCACCATCAAGGTCAACAAGCCTTTGAGGCTGCCGCGTGTGAGGCACCGGCAGACATGCAGGCCCGCTGCTGCTCCTGCCCCCGGAATGAAGCCGCCAGGAGCTCTGCCCCCAGGCCATGGCCTAAAGCCCCCATCCGCAATACCACCCAGCACCAATCAATGCACACCAGGTGACTTTACATTTTACACCACATGAATGCGAGCATACAAGGCAGGGCCTCAGCCGGAAGCAGCATAGCGCTGGCCGGTGGGTGGAGGTTGCGCCAGGCGGCAGCGAGCAAAGTGCACGGCATGACCCCAGGAAATTGTGCTGCACGGAGCTTAACCTTTAAGGAGATGATGGGAGAGGCACAGCGCATCAGCTTGGCATGCAGAGCAGTGCGTCAGGGCTGAGCGACATCTGCCCTGCTGGCTTGCCTGCAACAGCGCAGCGGCAGGGGAGGCGAGGAGGGTGGCGTCCAGCGGCGGCAGCGAGGAGCGCGGCTCGGCATTTGCTGCAGGCACAACCTGGCTGGTCGGGAGACAGGCAACACAGGCTGCCCAGCAGTTGGCCCTCCTGCCAGGCCTGGAGGCGGGACATTCGCCCGCTGCGGCTGCGGCTGCGCTGCGCTGCGCTGCGCTGTGCCCGCTGGTGCCAGCATGGGTACCGCCCCGCCCTCGCCTGCTGCGGAGTCCTTGTGTCCTGGCAAACTGTGGACAGTAAGACGGGTTGCAGAGAACGAAAACCCGTGTTTCAAAACAGCAGAGTGCCACAGCCGGCGGTCTCGTGTTGCAGCTGCTCCATTCGCAGCGGCGACAGCAGTTTCAGGTGCCGAGGCAATCGATTGGGCACGCCTCCTCTTCGCCGCCATGGCACTGGCGCTGTCTCGGCGCTTGGGCTCCTCCTCTGCTGCACGCTCCCTGTCGGCAGCGCTGGTCAACAGCTGCAGAATTGATGCGCCCATCATTAGCGGTCCAACCAGCTGCAGCGGCGCCCTGGCAGACGAGTGGCCATCGGTGGGAGCGGCGGCGGGCGGTCGTGGCAGCGCAGGGGCAGCAGCGGCGGCGGCAGCCTCCAGCTGGCCTCGCCACCTGTTGGTCGATGCCGCTGCAGCAAAGGTGACTTGAGGCGCCAGTGCGCTTCGCATGTGTGTGGGTCAGGGGCGAGTCCGCCACAAGGTGCTATCGTGAGGCACTGAGCCATCGCATGTGATGAGTGAATGCAGGCGCCCCACAGCAACACCAGCGGCGGCAGCAGCGCGCCAAGCAGCAGCAGCAGCAGCGGTAGGTGCCCGCCACACCACGACCCTCAGCAGCTGCCGGCCGGCCTGGGCCTCTGCGCTTCACCCAGCGCGGTCAGCGCGCTTTGCAAGAGCATGGCCAAGCTGCGCAACCCGCGGCGGCAGCAGGGTGTGCCGCAGCATGTGGCAGCGGTGGTGGCGCACCTGCGTGGCTTGGGCCTGAAGCAGCCGTTGCTGGGGCAGCTGTTTACTGGCTGCCTTGAGCTGTTCAGCTGGCCTGCAGACAAGCGTGCGGCTGTGCTGTTTCACCAGCTGATGCATTGCGATGGGGAAAGCGGGCTGGAGGCGGCCGAGGCGGCACGCTGCTTCATTGCATGGCCAACAGCCGCACAACACACCACTTTCACATTTCATGAGCTGGCGGCGATCCTGGCGCACAGCCAAGACAGCGCTGTCGGCCGCCAGCCCAAAGTGCCAGGCAGGGCAGCGCACGGTGGCGGCGCTGCTGCGGCAGACCCCCAGCGCTGTGCAGCTGGTTGCCGTGAGCGAGGGCAAGCTGCAGCAGAAGGCTGAAGGGCTTGTGGCGCTGGGCTGCATGCGCGCTGCCATTGCCAAGCTGGCATGGAGGCAGCCGGAGTTTCTTTCCCTGGAAGATGCAGCGGCACGACTGAAAGACGTGATGGTTGTGCTGCGAGATGAGCTGGGGCTGGCGGCAGACGAGGTGCTGGAGCTGGCATCCAAGGCGCCCGGCTGGCTGAGCAGCAACCTGGGAACGCTGCGGGAGCGAGCGGTGGCGCTGGCACAGGTGCGAGTGCTGCATGTTCGTAGTTGCACGGTTCTTGGCATCTTGCCGGGCATGAGAATGCCAGCAAGCTGCTGCACCACCTGCAGCCAGTCCCGTCTCGCCTCATCTTTTGACCTGATGCTGCATGCTGCAGGGCTTTGGCAAAGAGGATGCTGCCGGCATGTTGAAGCGTGCCCCAGATACGCTTAACTGCGATGCCAGCGTGTGGCGCTGCGGTATGCGCTACATGGAGGCATGGAGTGTGGCAGACCCTGTGGCTGTGCTCTGCAAGGACCCCAGGCTGCTGGCCTTCAACCACGCCGCACCCGACTTTGTGGCACGGCGCCTGCTGCTGCAGCGTTACTGGGGGCTGTCGGCGGCGCAGCTGTATGAGGGGCATGGTAGCTTTCTGAGGCAGATCAAAGTACGGTGTTTGGCACAGCGGCTGCAGTATGTGGAGCACCGCGGCCAGCTGCACCGGCTGCCAGGCTGGGCAGCCAACGGGCAGCCTGAGGGACAGCAGCTGGAGGGCAGCACCGAGGGCCCCTTGACCCTTTCTGCACTCAACCTGAGCGTAGACGGCTTTCTGAGGGCGGTGCATGACAGTGAACTGAAGGCAGCAGGCAGCTGTGCTGCCAGCAGGCGCAAGAAGTGGGATGATGTTGTGGCGCAGTGGACGGAGTTTGTGGCGGCGCACCCTGCTGGCACCGGACCTGTCTGGGAGTGGGCGCAGCAGGCGGCGAGGCAAGAGATTGACGAGTGGCTGGCGCCGGCGCTGACGCCTGAGCTGCGGCGGGAGGCTGCAGCGCGGCGGCGGCATGCCAGGCAGCCGAAGCTCCATTAAACGCTGCATCGCTTGCCCCTCCTGCTTCGCCCTCCTGCTGTACTCGGTTTACACCAGCACCTTCGGTATGCAGCAAACCTCTCAAATATCTCTCTGTGACGTCATCGGCAAGTCTCCAGTTACATGGGGCAGAGTGTCATCTCACAGAGTGTTCCCACTGGACAAGAAATTGAGACGGCCACATCAGGAGCAGCAAAGCGACCAGCACGAGACCTTGCCACACCGGCAGGCTGCCGTGCCGGCGCCGCCCAGAGCCTGCAAGCTCAGTGCATGCCGCCCTGCGACCCCAGCATCTGCCCAACAATTCCTGTCACCTGCGGTCGGAGGCGCAGCCCGGAGCAGCGCACAGTGTCGAGAGCGTCGTGTGGCAGGCGGCCCAGAGAAGAGGAGCAGCAGGCAGTACGCTGCAAGGACCATCCCAGGCGGTACCTGCCAGTACTTGGAGGAGCAGCGGTCGATGCAGCTGTTCTCCCCCACAGATAGCTCGCCGTCCTTGTACCTGTCAATGGCGGAAGCCAGAGGGCAGCAAATGCGGGGTGGTGGGGAGGGACGCAGGCGAGCGGCACAGGCAGGCGGCGCAGGCGCAACCCGGCGTGGACGCTGCGGCAGCAGCAGGCGCAGCGGCAGCAACAGAAGAACGGCTGGCTGGCTGCCTGGCTGGCTGCCTGGCTGGCTGGCTCCTGAACCTCACCGCTTGTCTATGCACTTTTCGTAGCAAGACGACACCATGCTGCAGTGTGGGGAGGGTGCGGATGGGGCCGGGGTCAGGCGCGGTCGCTGGGTGTGGGAGTGTGCCGGGGTGCGTGAGGGACGGGCGACCGGCGGCAGCGCGACAGCAGTCGGAGGAGGGGGCGGGCAGCAGCGGCCGGGCGGCGGCGAGGAGGCCCACCCCCCCTTCCCGCTGTCCAGCTCATGCACAACGCATGGCGTGGCCATGCAGCACGATTCTGTTGGGCACTCACGCGTTGAACAGCGCCACCCGGTAATCCATCTCCTGCTTGGCCATCTCGATTGCCGCCGCCGGGTCCTGCCCTCCCTGCTGCGCCATGCCCGCTGCCGCCGCTGCTGCTGCCGCCGCCGCGGGGCTGCCTGCCACTACCTGGGTGGCTGTCGGCTGGTGGTGGAGGCGACTGCTGCGGTGGGCCTGCGGCAGGGTGCGAGCACGGGCAGGCTGGTGGATGCAAGGGCACGCAAGGCGGCAACCCTGGCGTGCTGCCGACCAGCGGCGGCAGCCGCCTGCCATCCATGGCGGGGATGCGAGCATGCGCTCCGCATCGCAGCGTCCCCGTGCTGCTGCGTCCTCCAACGGGGTTCTGCACGCCTCAACCAGGCCGCCCGGGGCGCTGCGTGTGGGTGTGCTCACCTCGTGTCAGGGGGCAGGCAGCGGTGCTGCAGGTAGACACAGAGGGTGACGGTCAGGGCCAGGGCGTGCAAACCAGCTGCCTCACATGCTGTTCCGCCGACTTTCCAATGGCGGCAGGGGGCGGCAGCATCTGGGCGGCCACCTTTCCCCCCCGCAGCCGGTCATTGCTGGGCGCCCCACTCTGGTGCTGATGCTGCTTAGCTCGTGCTAGGCTGGATTTTCGATCGGGGCTACGTTGCTTGCCTGGCATTTCCAGCGCGTCGCCAATGCCGCCCGCGCTGGCGGCGGCGCGTGGGGTGCTCGGCCTGCTTTGGTTGCAGGTTGAGCGCTAGACCCTCTCCACTGCTCAGTTGCATTTGCCTTTCGTCTGGGGGCTGATACAACTGCACGGGCAAGCCAGCCACGCCAGTTCAGCTGATCGGCGTCCTCGCTCCCCGTCGTTGGACGCCTCCCGCGCCTTGTTGGCCTCCTGGAAGGCAGGAGGTGGCCCGTGTACTGGACAGTGGCGGCAGGCAGGGCCTGATCGCTCCGCCCAAGAAGCATGGCCTCCGCATTCGCCAAGTACGAGGACTCCACGCTGCGCAAGGTCCTGGCGGTGACCCTGAATGCGGGCACCGCCGACGGCAGCGCGGCACCGCCCGTGGTGCACCTGGCGGCGCTGGCCGAGGTGCGCCCCGCCACCTGCCGCTGCCCAACCGGCCGAGGGGTAGCCGGGCTGCCTTTGGGTGCTGATGTAGCAGTCAGCCAGGCAGGAAAATGGCCCATGAACACCACCATGGACCCGATGTGCCAAGTGCCGCCGCCCCTGCGGATGTTTGCCGGTGATGCCTGGCCCCTGCCGCCCTCCGCTGCCGCCGCTGGTGCAGGAGCTGCAGGCGGAGGCGGGCAGCGGCCCGGGCGAGCTGCTGCTGAGCGGCGACAACCTGGAGCGAGCGCTGATGGCGCGCCTCAGGTGGGGCTGCCGTCGGGAGTGCACCGGCCCTGCCTCCCTGTGCCTCGCGCCGCTCCTCTCCTTGCTCTCCTGCCCCCTCCACCACCACTCCATCCTCATCCCTGCTCCCCTGCCCCGCCCCGCCTGTGCAGCGAGCCGCCTGCCGCCTACCCACAGTGGCCGGTGCACTACCTGATCGGAGTGTACGCGCGGGCAGCAGGCGAGCGCTGGTCGGGTGGCTGGGCTGCCGCCCGGCAGCTGTGGGGCGGCCCCGCCTGCAGAGCCACGCTCCGTGCCGTGCCGGCCTGGGTGCCTGGTGGCCTGGAAAGCGGGGGGCAGGCGAGCCACGGCTTTGCCCCCAGCACCGCACTCCGCTCCACATCCCGCCCGCCCAAACCGCCACGCCGCAGCCGAGCAGCGCCTGCTCCTGGTCCGCCACACACACACACACACACACACACCTGTCTCTCCCCCCTGTCCCAAACTCCCTGCCCCGCAGACGAGCAGCGCAACGTGCGCATGCTGAAAGACCCCGCCCAGCAGGCGGCGCTGGCGCAGACGCTGGGCCTGTGCCGCCAGCTGGCGGTGTCGTATGCCGGCCTCACCCTGCTCATGGATATGTTCCCGCAGGTGGGTTGGTGGTGTGGGCGGCAGCGGGTTGGGCGCTGCCAGCCTGCCTGCCCGGCTGGTGGGCGGTGGTGTGGGCAGAGGCGGGTTGAGCGCTGCCAGCCTGCCTGCCTGCTGGCGGGCGGGCGGCGCCGCTCGGGGCAGGGGTGTTCGCTGCTCCCGCGGGTGCCGGCGGCAGCGGGGTGCCGCGAATAGGGCATGAGGGGACCCCCATTGGCGGCTATTGGATGCGGGAGAGGCGCAGCCACGCTGGCGCACACGCCGCCTGTGCCGCGGCGGCGCCACCGCTGCAGGCAGCTGGACCGGCGCATGAGACTGCTGCCCACGCCTCCTGCTCTGCCATGCCACGTCCCTGCCGCGCCGCTGCAGCACCCGGAGGCAGAAAAGCGCGGCGCGCTGCAGCTGCTGGATTCTTTGGATGTGGCAGCCGCAGCCTCCGCCTTGCCTGGCCTCGCGGGGCCCGCCACCGGCGCCGGCAGCAGCGACGGCGGTGCTGCGGCGGGGGGCGCGCTGCCCATGCCGCCGGGCTTTCTGGAGGACTTTGGGGCGCGGTTTGCGGATGAGGGGCTGGGAGATGTGATGAGTCCTATAGGTGGGTGGGACTGCAGCTGCTGGGGGGTGGCCAGGCTTGGTGGCCAGCCGGGCGGCTGCTCCCACCGCAGCCTGCCTGCCGCATCCTGCCTCCCCCCTGCCCTCCATACCCGCACGGCCGGCCGCGGCCGCTGCCCAGCCTGGCGCCTCTCATCCTGCTGCCGGGCGTGCCTAACGTGCCCGCCGTAGCCTGCCCTGCCCTACGTACCGCCCCTCCTCCTGTCGTCTGGCCCGCCTGCTGCTGGCTGCAGCTGCGGAGCTGATGCGTCGCGGCGGCACCGTGTCGCTGCTGGGTGACTTCTCAGGTGCAGGCGCCTGCCCGCCTGCCTGCCTGCCCGTGCCTGCCTGCCTGCCTGCCTTACCTGGCCGCAGCCGCGCCTTCTCAATCTCCCCTCTTCCCAATCCCCCGTGTGCCGCTGCCACCGGTCGGGTTGCTGAGCCGAGGCGTGTGTGTCGCGGCCGCCTGGTGCCCGCTCGCCTCCCCCCGCCCCTGCAGGCATCGTGTCCCTCCTCTCCCGCCTGGCCGCCTCAAAGCCGCTGGCGCTAGCCCTCACCCGCCTGCCCTCCTGGCTGCCGCCACAACAGGTGCCGGCCTGGGGTCGGGGCCGGCGGCAGCGGCGCTGTACGGAGCGTTTCTTATTGTTTTTGTGCCACTGGAGTGAGGATGTGGCTTCAGCAGGCGGCAACACATGCTGCACCTTGTTTCTGCCGGCGTCCCCGCCCGACGCACACCCCTGGCTCTGCGCCCAGCCGCACACTGCACCCATGCTCCACACACCACACACACACACACACAATGTGTGGACGCACGCGGCATGTGCCTGCCTGGCGTGCAGGACGGGCGCACGCTGGAGCAGTACAGCGTGCTGGGACCGCTGTTTGGGGTCAGCTGCACCCTTGACATCGCCGCCATGGGCTCGCCCTCCCGCCGCCTCCCAGACGTGGCGCAGCAGTGCTTTGCGGGGGCAGGTGGGCGGCGGCGGCATGGGTTTGCCGCCGTGCCTGTTCTGCTCTGGTCTGGCGCTGGCTCGCTCCTTGTATCCACCTGCTCTGCCTGGCAGTTTGCCCTGCTGCTGTTCCTGCGGTGGCGCTTGCCGTGGACACCTGCTCGGTGCCGAGACGCCTTTAGCGCTGCTGCAATAGTTTTTTAGGGGAACAAATCGGCCCTGCAAGGGCACCTCCGCTGCGCCCCGGCCGCTGCCCTGCAGCCACGAGGCGCCCGGCAGACGTGCGGCAGAGCATGCAGAGCCTGGCGGTGGCGGCGGGGCAGCTGCGCCAGCAGCTGCACTCTCTGCTCATGCTCTTCCTCAAAAACCAGGTACGGGCTGGGCACAGGCAGGCGCGCATGCTGCGGCAGGCGCATGCGGCGGCAGGCGTGCCCATGCGCTTAATTCCCTGCTGCTCCATCCTGCTCACTCCTGCACACACTCATACACACACACACACAGGCGCTACCACTCCCATCGACGTAAAACACCACCTACACTCCCACCCACTCCCACCCACTGCCACCCACACCACAGGACACGCGAGAGGCGGCGCTGGCCTGGCTGGCCGCCGCCCTCAACTCCAATCTGGAGCGCACCAAGATGCAGCCCAACCCGGCCAAGTCCGCCACCGACGGCTTCATGCTGAATGTGGCGGGGGTGAGCGGGTGGCGTGCCGGCGGGGACGCGGCGGGGTTTTATTCAACGGCCAACGTCCTCCCTGTGTCCCTGTCCCCTGCATTGCGCCCCACGCTGCGTGCTTCCCGCTCTGCTTGGCCCTGTGCGTGGCAGCTGCTCGCCCTGCCGGCCTGAGGACGCTTTCAATCCCATGTCAGTCACCCCATGACATGCCTCCCGCCCTCCCCTGCCCGCCAGGTGCTGCTGCGGCTGTGCGAGCCGTTTGTCGACCCCCTCAGCGGCAAGGCCTGGGGCAAGCTGGACACGAGGTGGGGGCTCAGCCGGCGCTCGGCTGCCGCCGCGCATGTGCCCGCCCTTGCCACTGTGATCCCTGCTGGGGTGGGGAGAAGTTGAGGGTTATTGCGGCGACAGCCCCGCCCCGGCATCAGCCTGCCGCCCCTGCCGCCGGCGCTTCTCGGCCCTTTGCGCGGCGTTCCGCGGTTTCACCCATGCTGCCGCTGCGGCCCCCACCCAACACACACATGCATGCCATCACTCCGCTGCGCCCACGCCCACGCCACCCCACCACCCTTCCACATACATTCGCCGCCCTGCCCGCTGCCTGGCCCAGATATGTGTGTGACCCTTCGGCCCGCCTGGTGCACGGCCCCGACGCCACCCGCCTCAACGCCGACTCAGACCAGGTGGCGGCTTGGTTCCGGCAGCAGGGCCCGCCGGCTGATGGTGAGCCGCCAGGCAGCTGGCCCTGGTTGCGGGGGCGCCTGCGCAGCAGGGGGCAGGTCGGGATCTGGCGCGTTGTGGGTGGCAGATGCACATGTGAGGTTGCCGGCTGCACCGCTATTTGCCAGCCTGCAAGCAGCCCTGCAGCCGCCCCCAGCTGCGACAGCCACAGCGACCTGGTACCGCCTGTACTGTACCGCAGGCAAGTACCACTTCATCTGCGAGTGCTTCTTCATGGCGGCGAGGGCTCTGCAGCTGGGCCTGAAGAAAGGTGGGGCCCTAGCTTGCTTCAGATCAGATTCAGAACGAACGAGATGAGCACTTCAGCCGTCCAGACGTGTGCCTCTTACCCCATTCCCCTCCTGCACCATCTCACCCCACCCCCTGGCTGCACCGCCTCACCCCCGCCTCCCCGCTCCGCCTCTGCGTCTGCCCCAGGGCTGGACAGCTATCAGATGATCGCCCGCCACGCCCGCCACTATGAGGAGGACCTGGCGGCGATGCAGCGGTGGGTTCTGGTGGCGGTACTATTGCAGTACATTGGCAGTACACTTGCGCTCCGTTTGCGCGGCTGGTCGTGCTGCTGGCCCGCGGCCCTGCCTTGCCAGTCTCGCCCGCGCCAGCTCCATGCTAGCCCTTTGCCACGGCGACGTCGTTCCCTGGGCTGGTGCTTGCAGGGGCCCCTTGGCAGGCATGCCTCAGGCTCAGGTCATGGCACAGCGCGCAGAATGGCTCAAATGCGCCGCGATGAGCCTGGAGGCGCTGCTGCAGGTGCCGTGCCGTATCGCCGGCTGCACTGCCGGTACCCTGCCGCTGCATGCCGGTCCGGCCAGCTGCGGTGGGCCTCGCAGCCGGCGCGGTCGGGCCCGGGCCCGGGCGCCTGTGCAAGCTTCCTCTCGCCCAGCCTGCCTGCTCACCCTGGCTGCTGGCGCTGCCTGCCACCCGTGCCCCCTCCACCTTCCTCTTTGTCTCAGGACCAGGCGCTGCTCACAGAGGCCCTGGCGTTCTACAGGTGGGCTCCCTGTGTGCCGCAAAGCGCCTCAAGCTGCTGCCTGTGCTGCGTACATGCACGCGCGCGGTGTGGCGCACCCCACCCACCTGCCACATACCCCACCTTCCCACCCTGCTCTCGCACCCCTGCCCACCCATCCCCTGCCTGCAGGCTGTCTGCGGCCTACATGCTCCGCCTGGCATCGCCCACCGCAGCCGCCGGCGGGCCGCCCACGCTGCCGCTGCCCGAGCCGCCGGCCCCGGCCTTCTGTGTGCTGCCGGTGCGTGCCGTGCCTGCCCCGCTTTGTTGGTCTGCCTGCCGCGCCTGTCCTGCTGTGTTTGGTCTGCCTGCCGCGCCTGCCCTGCTGTGTTTGGTCTGCCTGCCGTGCTTGCCCTGCTTTGTTCGGCCTGCGGTGCAGCAGCTGCAGCTGACCTGGCGCAGGCGCTTGTCATTCGTCCTGGCGCCTGCCCCTCCCTGCCCCCCAGCCCCTTCAGGCTCACTTCAATTCCTCCTTTCTTTTCTTGTCCTTTCCTCCCACCGCCGCAGGAGTACTATGCCGAGGACCTTGGGGAGGTGCTGCTGTGGGTAGGGCGCGTCAGGTGCGGGGCAGTAGGTGCCTCAGCCTCATCAGCGGTGGCCTGTGCCGAGCCAGCAGAGACGACAGGCCGCACCCCGCAGCTGTAGCCTTGCCGGCAGCTGCTGGGCCCCTGCTGCTGCAGCCAGTTTGGGAACCAGCCCGGAGCAGCCCCCCGCAGCTCTTGCACGCAGTGCCACAGCGCAGCCGTCGCACGCACTGCTGTTGTACCGCATGTTCACCGCATGCTGTACCGCCTGATGTACCACCTGCAGGCCCGACCTGGTGGAGGCGAGGCGCATGGAAGAGTTTATGGTTTTCTTCACCTCTCTGCTGGGGGCGCAGGCCTATGTCAAGAATGCGTACCTCAGGTTGGCGGCCGTGTGGCTGTGGTGCGTGCGGGGCCTGTTTGCGGCGTGCATGTGGGTGCATGCGCGCTGACCCGGCGCCTGCCCTGCGCTGTACCTTTGCCTGTTTGGCCTGCAGGGGAAAGATGGTGGAGGCGCTGCACTCGTACATGCCGCCAGAGGCCTCTGGTGGGTGGGCAGGCATGTTCCCGGCAGCTGCCCGGCAGCCACGCGAAACACCCATGGGTAGCAGCACTGCCCTCGTCAGCTGGGCCCTGTCACCAGCCTGCTGTCCCTTCTTGATCAACCCTCGAACTTCACTTGTGGGTGCCATTCATACCGATGTACTGCAGATAGGCAGCGGTACCGCATCCCCGCCTCTGCTGCCGAGGTGGCCATGCTGTTCGAGGTGCACCCGCTGGTCATCCAGCACATCGTGCGCAGGTGAACCCCCCCGCGGGGTGCTGGGCCCACCCACCTGCGTGGTGGTAACAAAGGCCGATGCAGCGCAGACGTGGGGCACGCATTCCCGTGCCGCCGCCGCCAGATGACATGCATGAGCCAGCCGTTCAGGCTGGCTGCTTTACGCCAGCGGCGGCCGGTGCTCCGGCGCTGCGCTCATGTGTGGCTGCATGACTGCTGGTACTGCCTGATTGCCCCATGGTACTGCAGCCTCATCCAGCTGTACATCGACATCGAGATCACTGACCGGCACAACACCTTCTACGAGAAGTTCACCACGCGGTACCAGGTCTGTTGGTGCTGCAGAGACCCACAGCAGCAACGAAGCTGCAGGGCGAGCGAGGGCTGCGAACAGCTTGTCCGGGGGCCGCATCATCACCGCCGGCGCACTGCCGGGGTCCTTGCGCCGCCGCCTGCTGTCCCCGTGGCGCCCTTGCCCTTGCACCTTGCTTGCCGGCCCTGCTGCCTCTCACATAGCTGCCCCATGGCTGCCCACATCCTGCCCTGCCACCCCTCCGTCCCGCTCAGATCGGCGAGATCCTGTGCTACCTGTGGAACCTTCCGCAACACCGCGCCAGCTGGCGCGTCATGGCGCAGCAGCAGCCCAAGCTGCACGTGCAGGTGGACGGGCGGGGCTGCTGGGTGCCTGGGGATGGTTGGTGGGTGGGTCGCGGACGTGTGCGCAGGGAGGGGCCTCCGCCCATCCTCTGCTGCTTCCGCCTGCCGCCATACACACAGTCCCAACCACCCATCCAACCTCAGTCTGTTTTACCTCCTGCTTCTCCCTGCCTCTCTCGCCTCTGCTCCCCGTTCCTGCCCTCGCACCTCTGCCAACGCTGTCTGCTCCCCGCCCCCTGTTCCTGCCCTCACACCTCTGCTCCTGCTGCCCCCCCTCCCCCCCTCACTGCCCGCAGTTCATCCACGTGCTGCTCAACGACAGCCAGTTCCTGCTGCAGGACGCGCTGGAGATGCTGCCAAAGGTGGGTGGGGTGGTACCGCCGCACCAGGGGTGGTACGGAGTGATGTGATACTGCCGCACCAGGGGTGGTGCGGGTGGTGCTGGGCAGTGGTTCTGCATCTCGCTCGAGGAGGGTGTGCCTGGAGGTGGTGATCGCATAACCCCCACCCCCACCCCCACCATACACACCGGTACCGTCTCCTGCGTGCCTGCCCTCCCTTCCTGCCCCTCCTCCCGCCTGCCCGGCAGGTCCAGGATACGGAGCGGCTGCAGGCGGACGCAGCGGCGTGGGCGGCGCTGCCCCACCAGGAGCGAGAGGAGCGGGAGTCGGTGCTGCACCAGCAGCAAGGCCTGCTCAAGGTGCGGCGTGTGTGGGTCGGCGTGAGTGGGGCGGCGCGTGTGGGGCGGCGTGTGAATGGATGGATGGTGTTCTGTGCCGTGGGCGTTGTTGGGGTAAGGCCTGCTGCAGCTGCAGGGCAGGGGTTGGTGCAGGTGTGTTGGGGGGCGTCGTGTGTGCGTGTTAAAGCCGGCTGCCTGATCCCGGCTGTCTCGTGTGCCTGACCCTGCCTCCTCTGCCCCGCCCTCCTTCCCCTCTTCTGCAGAACAACTTCATGCTTTCTTCCATCATCATCAAGCTGATGCAGTCCACAGCGGTGAGGGGGCACGAAGAAAGCGCTTGGGAGGCTGCTTACGGTGCCGGCGCAGGGCTGGGCCGCCGCCGCTGCTTCCTCCCTGCCACTCCCTCCTCCCTCACTCCCCGCTGACCTCTTGTCTCCCCTCCCGGCTCTTGCGAAATACCAGGATGACCGCGAGGTGTCAGCTTGCTACTTTGATGCAGCGGTACGCAACCGTACCGCAAAAATCAACGACTTCTTCCTCAAGTACCTCACGGGTGGGTGCACAGGAAGAATGAAATATCTGATATAAGCACAGAAGATACTCCATCTTTTTATTATGTGCGCAGCCTGTACGGCTGTACTGCTGCGTCGTCTCGACAGCACAGCTGCAGCCGGTCTGCGACCAAGGTGCATTCCAGAGCCCCTCCTCCTAATCACACCTCGCTGCTCCTCCAATTGAATCCCGGCACACCCCAACCCCAACACCTCAAAACGCCCTGTGGCTCCGCTGCAGTGCCCGAGGAGCGGCGGCGGCTGCGTGTGAAGGACCCCGAGCAGTACCACTGGCACCCCAAGCGCCTCATCACGCAGCTGGCGCAGATACACATCAGCCTGTACCGGGCGCGGCGCGGCGAGTGGGTGCAGGTGCGCCACGACGACGAGGCGTGGCGAGGCACGAGCTGGGGTGGCAGCCGCGCTGCAGGGTGGCAGCTGCGCCGTGGGGACAGGCTGCTGGGCTGGGGCCAGTAGCCGTTTTAGCGGAGTGCGGCCGAGGCGTGGCCACGCCTGCCCGCCCCTGGCCTGCGAACCCTCCCATCCGTCCCCGCTGCCCTCCCTCTTCTTGTACAGGCGGTGGCGGCAGACACAGACTACTATGGGCGAGCCCCGCAGCTGTTCACAGAGCTGCTGTCGGTGCGCCGGGCTGCTGCGCTGTCCTGCCTCATCGGCGGCTGCATAGCTGCGGGGCCTGCTGGTCTGGGCTGTAAAGGCTGCCGAGCTGCTGCATGCCGCGTCGCCGCCATGCCCTGCCCGTCTCCGTTACCTTTCCATCGGCCGTGTTCGCCCCCCCTGTCGTGAACCTCACGCCCATCCTTCTGTTCCTCTTCCCTGCCTGGCCCACCCGCCGCCAACCACCAGCTGCTGCGAGAGCTGGGGCTGCTGCCGGAGGACGAGGTTGCTGAGCTGGCGGGCATGGTGTCTGCGGTAGAGGAGGTGGGGCGCCTGCAGCGGCATGCGCAGGGTGCCACTCCCAGCCAGTATGCCACGCGGCGCCGGCAGCGGGGCGACAGCAGGCAGCGGCAGGGGGTGCACGGCGGGCCAGTGCGCAGCCGCCTGGGCTCACCCAGCCGCTGCCCTGTCTGTTGTGATGTTGAGCTGCCAGGCCTACAGCTGGCCTGGTGCTGCTCCGGCTGCTGCCCCCCCGCTGCTGACGGTACTGCCGCTGATAGCTGTACCGCTGCTGTACTGCTGCAGTACAAGGCATCGGTGGAGGAGGAAGAGGAGGCGTTTGAGGATGTGCCGGGTGTGGCGGCGGCGCCGGGCTGCAGTGCACAGCCGCTGGGCCGGGCTGCTTGCCGCGACGGGGCCGCCGGGCGGCGCCACCCTATGCTGCGTTGCGTGCCTGTATGCCGGGCGCATGCGCCTCTCCTCCCTTGCCCTCCCAGGGCGCCTGGCCTGGTCCCATCTCTGCCGCGTCTCCTTACAACACCTTTCCTGCTTTCCTCCTCCCATCCCTCCCTTCTTTTCCTGTTCTTACAGAGGAGTTTGAGGATCCTCTGCTGGGGGGCCTGATGCGGGACCCAGTGCGCCTGCCCTCGGGTGGGTTTAGGTTTGGTGGGCGCGGGTGCCTGCCCGCGGGGGCGCTGGCTGGGATGGGCGGGGAAGTGGGCTGCGTCCACAGTCGCTGTGGTGGGCTGGCTGCCTGGGGGCCACGCTCATGGCAGTGCCGCAGCGGGGGCCCGGGCCCTGCAGCAGGAGAGGCGGGTCGCGCTGCCGCTCGCCTGCGCCGGGCAGCCGCAGCGCCTGCGGGGCTCGCTCCCGCAGCATCGTGCCACACCCGCGCCGGCCCTGCCCCGCACACCGCCGCCTGCAGGCAACGTGGTGGAGCGCAGCAGCATTGTGCAGCAGCTGCTGTCAGACCCGCGAGACCCTTACAGGTGCGCCCGCTGTGCACCTTGGCGGTTTTTTGTTGTGCTTCTTGAACCCAATCGGCCGGGAGAGCGCACGCTTGTGCCCAGCTGGAGGGAGGTGCTGGGTGCAGGCGCCGCCGCCACCTGCAGCGCTGCCTGCGCTGGACCTCTGCCACGGTACCACGGCTGGGGTTTGGCGCCTGACTCCCTCGCGGTACCGTCCCCGCACCAGGCGGTACCGTCCCCGCGCCTGCACCCCAGCTGAAGGCGTGTGCATGCCGCCGCCTCGCTGCCCCGCAGCCGCCAGCGGTGCACCGAGGAGGATCTGGAGGCGCTGCCCGACCTGCAAGCCAGGTGGGGGGCTGCCGCCCAGGCTCTCGGTTCCTGGCACATGCGCTTGCCGCCAGTCAGGGTTGCTTGGCACCAGTGCCGCGCGGTGCCCCGAAAACCCCTGAACCCACCCCTGCATGCGGTGCCGGTGTCGGGAGTGAGCGGCTTGGGCTAGTCTGGCTGCCGTGCATCCTCCTGCAGGATCGAGGCGTGGGTGCAGGAGCAGCGCAGCAAGCGGATGCGGACAGACTGAGCTGAGCCTGCGCGTGTGGCCACCAGCCTTGGCACGGATGGCAGCTGCGCCATTTTGCTGTGCGGCAGTGAGGGAGGGGTTTGCCTGGCCCAATCAATGAGCTGCCCATGGGAGCGCCCTGTAAATATAGGCGGGTGCGGGGCTGCACGTGGAGCAAGAAGAAGGCGACGTTCGGCGGCGGCGGCGCTGACCTGACGTGCGCTGGCAGTACGGCACATCTTGCCAGGGCTGCTCAATAGCCCATCGCACTGCGACGCGGCCTGCCGCGTAGGATCTAGAGCAACGTCGTGCGGGCTGAGGAGTGTCGCCGGCTTTGCCCGGTGCCCTTCCTCGTGGTTTTGCCTGCGCACGGCGGCAGGAGAGCATGCCTGCAGTCTTGGTAGCTTCCGGATGGCAGCGATGCGGCTCCCAGGCGAGCTGGGTTGGGCGGCGCTGCCGCTGCCGCTCCCCGCTTTTTTCGAGCGGACGGGTCTGTTGCAGGAAGGCCCGGCACACTGCCTTTGTCGCAAGACACCAGGCTCTAACTTTCATTGTCCTGCTCATGCTCTGCGCAGTGCCCTTCTGCCAGCCAGGCGGCGACATGGCGGCAACAGCTTGCAGTGGCTGTGGCGCCGCGCCGGCTGCCCCACACTCTCCGCCATGTGGTGCGCCGGCGGCCTGCCGCATCTCACGGTGGCAACAACAGCAGAAGTGGCAGCAGCAGTAGCAGCGATGGCAGTGAGCCTGAGATGGTGAAGCGGAGGGGCAAGATGGTGCCTGTGGATCCCGGCCTGGTAGCCAAGCTGGAGCCACTGGCTGTGCAGTGCGCCGTCCCCGTCATGGCGGCGCTGGCTCGGGCGGTGGCTGCTCTGGATGCTTCACGGCAACAGGGTGTGATCGACCACGGTCTAGCTGTAGCAGCATACCTGCGCAGTCTGGGCATTGAGGAGCATCGAATGGCGCAGCTGCTGCTGCGCTGTCCTGAGCTGTCCAGTTCATAGTTCAGTCGGCCTCCCGAGGAGCGGGCTGCCGTGCTGGCCAGCTGATGGGGCGGCTGGGCATGACGGCGGCAGCAGCAGCGCGCTGCTTTGAACACAAGCAGGCAGCAGCCGGTTCACCCAGCTTCGAGGCAGCAATTACGGTGCTGGCAGCGCTGCTGGCTGCCGGCGGCACGGCGGGCAAGCCTGGCGAGCAGGTGCTTAGGGAGGTGTTGACGAGGCACCCCTCCACAGTGCAACTGTTAATGTCTGACAGGGAGCGGCTGCAGAGCACAATCGGCCACCTGCTTCAGCTTGGGCTCAGCCAGCAGCAGTTTGTAGCAAGCCTGCACACCCGGGGGTGGACCCTGCTCACCCGGCCTCCTGAGCACCTAGCGGAGCTGGAGGCAGCGCTGCAGCAGGAGCTGGGCGGCGACCGCCAGCTGTGGCTCAAAATGCTGCGGCTGCATCGTCGCGCGGCTAGCGGCAGTGTGGACACCTTCCGTGAGCGAGCACATGCGCTTGCTGTGGTGAGATAGCTGCCGATGCATCGTGTGGCATGCCAACATGGCGGCTGCAGTCAGTCCTGCTTAGGGAGCTTATGGCAGATTGCTTGCCAGCCTACTGCCTCCCTATTGCCGTCTGCAGTGTTAAACCATTGCTGGCTATTTGTTCAAAACCGCCGTTGCAGGAGTTTGGCAGGAATGTGGCGTGCGAGATGGTTAATGCCGCCCCAGGGCTGCTTCCCGTGCCACCCTCTCTATGGCGGCGTAATCTGGCGGTGATGCGGCTGTGTGGCGTGGCGGACCCGCATGCCGTCTCCAGAAATCGCGCTAACGTGCTCACATTGAATTGGCTGAATCCTGCCCTGCTGGCCAACCTGCTGGCGCTGCAGCGGTGCATGCCAGGGCATCCCACGGCTGCCCAGGTGATCCACAGCTGGGCCAGCTATGTTGCAACTGTGTCAATACAGAGGCTTGCTGCCCGCCTGCTCTTCCTTGACCACCTGGGATTGCAGCCATTGTTGGTGGCAAGCAAAGGGCCTGCCAGGCGGGAGTGGCGGCGCCAGCGGGGACTGCCAGCCAGCAGGCGAGCAGCTGGGGAGCCTGCCTTCATCAGTGTGAAGGATGTATCAAGAGCCGCAGACGCGGACTTTGCTGGCATGGTGGCTGCGGCAGCAACGCAGCAGTCCGGCCAGCCAGTTAGCAGCAGCAGCATTGCCGCCTTCCAGGCAAGTTTGCCACAAAATGCAGCGTGGCAGCGGCTCTGGGCAGAGGCGGAGGAGATGAGCCAGGAGCTGAGGGGGCAGCTTCCGCCGCAGCTATTGCCAGCAGGTGGATGCGGCGGAGGTGGATAGTGAGGAGGCAGAGGACTACCGCGGGCTGCTGACCTGAATTGAACGGCTTCATTCCAGCCCCACATCATTTTATTTTCTTTTTTTGAATTGAGCATTGGATGGCTGCTGCAAAAGGCTTTATGTGGCTCCCATGCGGCGTGCCGGCGGCAGGGGCCAACTGTGCAGCAAGCCCATGCTGCAGCATGCTAGAAGCGGGAGCACCCGTAGCGGCCGCAGCGACATGCTGCGCTCTGCTTGCAGCGCAGGCAGGTCTGTTCTTTTAGGACAGCCTCCGGCCACACCCTGCCAGTTATGAGGCTGCGCATGTACTTGCAAGCGTTCTGGCTGTCCAATAAGCAACACAGAAAGCAGGTAGCAAGAATCAAAACATGACTAGGGGAACCAAGGAGCCTGCCTGCCGGCCATGCACCACCAACCGTTGCAGCTCGTGGCGCTCCTCTTGCCGCCGCAGCTGCCGCTCGCTTGCTGCAGGCGGTGCCACCTGCTGGATGGCTTGCATCCGGCGGTTCTCGGCGGCAGCGCCTCTGAGCTGCATGGCCGCAGCTCGCAGCTGGCGCAGCTGCACCAGCGCCGACTCCAGCTCAGCTTCATCCGCACCAGCAGCCGCTGACCCAGCGAGGCTGCCCGCTGATGGTGCTGGCAGCAACGCGGCGCCCCCTGGCAGCTGCAGCCAAGTCGGCGGCTGTCGCGCTGGTTGCCCACCCACTGCTGCACTGTTCGCCATGAGCATGCGCCGACACAGGCCGTGGTGGCATGCCAGCAGCCCAGCTGTATCGGTCACTGCCACGCCCACTTGCAGCAGCTGCTGATAGCCCGAGGTAGCTGCCGGTATCAGCTGGGCAGACAGGCTCACGTGTGCTTCCGTGGTGCTGCCAGCAGAGAGGATGCCAGTTGTGCTGGCGCGATCCATGCTGCCGCCGCTGCCGGTCTGCGGCGAGGGCGGCAGCAGAAGCCTGAGCGCTGGGCTGGGACTGCCAGCTGGCAAGCGGTCCTCGCAGCGCTGCCGGTCTGCAAGCTGCATGGTGCTGAGGCCCTGCTCCATGAGCTGCTGGAGCAGTGCCGCTGCTGAGGGCGGCTGCACTGTAAGCAGGCTCTGCGGAAGCTGGAGCAGCATCGCAGCCTGAAGTGTAGGCCTGTTGCCCGTGCCGGGATTGAATGCCGCCAGTGGCAAAGCTGGTGGCCGAGTTCCCTGCGGCAGCCTCAGGCTGTTGCTGCTTGCTGCTGCCGCCTGCTGGCTGAGCTGTAGCTGGTGCAGCATGTCCAACTCCAGGCTGTGCAGCATCAGCAGGCTGCTCCCGCAAGGGCCCACACAGACGCAGCCGCCGCTGCTGCCGCAAGAGGCATCGCTAACGGAGATTGTGCTGTGCCGGCATAGCAGCACACGCAGCTGGCCACAGCTGCAGGTCGGCTGGAGGGAGTGCAGAGGAACCTGGAACTCCAGCCGCCACTCCGAGCCTGGCGGCAGCTGCCCCAGCGGCGCTGCTAGGGCCAGGCGATTGCTTGGCAGGCTGCTGGGGCTGTTGGTGTGGTGCAGCAGGACAGTCCAGTCGCCCGCCACAGCTAGCCTGCTGGTGTTCAACAGGCTGACCTCCAGGGCAAGCGCCTCCTCAGTGATGCCGCTGCCACGGCTGCCGCCGCTGCCCACCACTCTTGAGAGCAGCGCCTGTGGCCGCACTGTGCAGTGCAGCTGGATGCCCTGCATTGCCGAAAATGCTGCGCTTGCTCCTGGGACTGCCGCTTGCGCCGCGGGAATGGAGGCTGCGACCCCGCCGATCCTGCCATCGAGGGATAGCAGCTGCTGCCCCATGCGCTCCTGCTGCGTTGACAGCTCGGCAACCGCCCCCAGCAGCTCCTGCAGGAGGTGAGTCGGGGACCAACAGAGAGGTGATTGCTTTTGCCAGCCTGCTTTCAGCTTGCAGTACATGTATGGCACAAGGACGGATCCCAGCAAGCTGCCGAGACAGCTCAGCAGCAAAAGCAAGCGGTGCAAAGCACACGCAGCGCAGCCACCGACCTGAATGTTGGCCTCCAGCTGCTGTACCGGTGGCGCTGGGCTGCTGCCATTCTGCCCGTGCACCGCACCAGTGCTAGACAGCTCTGTGGTGACCAACGCACCCTGCTCCGTTAGCAGCACCAGCCGGTGCTGCCGGTGTTGCTGGTGGTGAGGCTGCAGCGACGTCGCTGATGCTAGCATCGCCACGCGCCCGCCTGCAATCCCACGTATTGGCAGCTTGGCTGCCACCTCCTGTGCCAGGCCCGTGGCGGCATCCAGATGGCGCAGCTCGCTGCTGGAATTGCTGCCGCTGCTGCTGCTCAAGGGTTGTGGGAGGTAGCACAGGCAGCTGCCAGCGGCTGCGGCCGCCTGCGCGCCAACCAGCTGCACAACGGCGGCAAACACGTGGCCTGCGCTGCTGCTGTCGGTAGCCCCAGGGCCGCTGCCAGCTGCCAGCACTGAGGTGCCGCAGAGGCCAGCCTCCTCTGCGGGCACCAGGCGTCCAGACTCAGCCAGCAGCAGCAGCTCGCGGTGCTGCAGGCGGTGGTCGTGCTGCATGGGGAGCGGCAGGAAGCAGATGCGGCTGCCAGCACAGCAGATCGCCAGGGGCAGCCTGCCGCACGCGCTGGCGGCTGGCGCCTGCAGCCCGCTGCCACCTGCGATGCTGCAAGGTGCGCCAATGGGCAGGGACAGCAGCTGGCCGCCAGCAGTGGCCACCAGCAGGTACCCAACCTGGCCCGCTGCCGCTGCTCCATTGGATGGTGCAGGCTGAACAAAGCGGCTGCTGCACGCCAGCCGGGGCATGCCACTGCTGGCGTTGCCAGGGGTGGGCTCTGGGCCGGGCACCAGGCTGACGACAGCTGCTGCCGTGGCGTCTGGAGGAATGGCTGCCGGCATCGACGCTGTGCCATCTGCCCCGCCAGCAGCTGCGCTGGCGGGCGGCTGGCAGACCCAGCTGGCAACCGAGTGCACCAGCAGGGGCGCCTGCTGCTGCTGGCAGGGCTGACTGCGAGCGTGCAGCTGCCGTAGGGCCTCCTGCAGCCCGGCCAGGCTGAGGGGCGCTATGCCGCCAGCGGCGCTGCCAGGCTGGGCCGCCGCCGCCGGCTCCCACCAGTGGCACAGATGCTCCCACGCCACCGCCGCCGCCAGCTGGTGCCTGGCCGGGCACCGCGGCTGCGCCAGCGACACTGACGCGGCGGCAGCCGCGTCTGCCGCCACCTCTGCTGTCGCCGCTGCTGCGCCTGGCGGGTGGGCCAGCAAATGGAAGGCCCACACGCGGCAGCTGGCGCCCACCACCAGCAGCACCGCTGCTCCTGGTGCAGCAGCATCGTGGGCCGCCGATGGGACGCCAAGCTGCACCAGGGCCGCCGCCTCTGGCAACACGACCACGCTGTGCACGCTGCCGCCCGCTGCGCCGCCGTCGAGCGGGGCATGCACGACCTGCATGCTGCGATGTGCCGTGCAGACGGCCACCCATAGACTGCCGCCAAACTGCGCGCAATCGAGGCAGCCGGGGCCGCTGGCGGCCGCAGCTGCGGCGGCAGCGGGCCCCAGGTCTGCAATGTGCAGGGCCTCCTCCATTCAAGCCACCCGATGCTCGGCTGCTGCCGGGGACAGGCGCCCCTAGCGGGGGTCTTTCTCCTGCTCCCGCCCTTGCTGCTGCCCCGCCACGGGGCCGGCAAAGACGTCTGCGCAGAAGTGCTGGGCGTGCTGCTGGCAGGCGGGCGTCTGCTGCGCCAGGCACGCGTCCATGCACCGCTGCTGGCACGCCTCCCGCTCCTCCCAGCTCTGCTCTGCAGAGCGAGGCACGCGAGTATGGATGAGGTGTGTGATGTGGATGTTCTCCAACTGTAGTGCAGCAGACGTAGGTTAAGGCATCGGTATCCGCGACACACTGCAAGGTGGCTTGCAACCGACCTAACCGCCCACCTGGCACGAGGCCCAGCAGGCGGAGCAGGGGCGGCGAGGCGCACTGACGCGCTGCCTGTAGACTGCAGCCCGCCCTGCAGGGGGGCCGGGTGGGGTCGCAGGGAGACGATGGTTGGGTCGCGCCAGGCAGGGGTGGTTGCGCAGAAGACGGGCACGAGACAGCAGGCAGCGGCTGCAGCCTGGTGACTGGCACTGCCCACCTGAGGCCCTCGGTGCAGACCTCTATCACCTTGCCCTCGCAGCCCCTATGCTGCTGCTCCCGAGAGGCCTCCGAGGCAAAGGCCTGCGCGGGTATGAACTTTTGTGATAGGGAGGCACGAGAGCCTGCACCAGTGCTGCCATTGCTCCATGAGAGGCTCACCAATCTGTAGCTGCCTGCGCTCTGCTCAACCACGCGCGGGGACGGAATCGGAGGGCGAAACCACTGCAAATCGCTGCTGTTGCTGCTGCTGCTGCCCTTGGCGCGATCCCAAAACATCATAGAACGGCAAACGATGGGACTTCAGATCTATTTAATGTGTGATGGCGGCACCCGCCTGGCGCCACGCCACCGCTGCGTTATCACTGCCAGTACCAGGAGGAAATCACACCTGACGACTGCTTCCGACAATCCCATTTCATTAAAATGGATTCCTGGATGCCGCGATGACGTCGCCGCCGCTTCAGCGGCCTGGCGAGCGCCTGGGCGACGGGCAGCCGCTGGCGTCTGCTCCCAGCTGACCTCCGCATGGGACTGAGGCAACGCAGGCATTCCTCTGCAAAGGCAGGCGCAAGCTACCTGGGACGGCCGTCCTTCAAGCAGCAAGGAAGTTACGGGTCTCAGGGCAGGCTGCGGGGAACAACCCGGCACAGGCAGGCAGGAGGCGGCGGCGGCGGCGGCGGGACTCGGGCGGCAGGGACCGGCAGGTGCCAGGCCGCTGTTTGGTCGACAAACTGGCTATTTGATGCTACTGGGCGGCTCGTATGGTCTTCATGGGCCAGAAATGATCAGCCGCGGACGTGGCAAAAAAGCTGCCCCAAAACAAACACTGCGTGGTGCCTGGGAGCCTGCATCTTGAGTGCATAGCGATCCGTTAGACAAGCCTGTACTCAGTCGTGGGCGGGTGTTTCAGCGCCTCCACATCCCCCGACTCCCCCGGCAGGCTCAAGCCGGGGCATCAACTGCAGCATGGGAAGCTTCGGGTGGTCAGGGCGCTAGGGCAGGGGTCCTGGGCGAACGTGTGAGTGGCCCCTGCCCGCAATTGCGCCTTCAGCGCCCCTGGAGAGGCCGCTGGGCCCGTATTTTGCTTGCAAGGCCCTCCACAAACGCTTTGCGCGCGGCCCGCCAAGCGTTTGTGGCACTCGCGAGCGAGTCGCCTCGGCAACGCCCACCGCCCCACCCGCCGCCCTCGTCCCGCCTGGAACCCCCCCGCGCCCCTCTCTGTGCAGCTATCTGGTCGAGCGGGAGCAGGGTGGACAGCATTATGCGCTGAAGCGCACGCTCATCACCGATCTGTCACAGGCGGAGAAGTGAGTGAGCAGCCTTGTGGGTCTGTGCGCCTGCGCCGCCGGCGATCCGTCGCCTGCTACCGCCGCAGCACGCCTGGGGCTCCCGCGCGCCTGTCCTGCCACGTGCCCTGCCTCGCCGCTGCCAACCACCTCCGCAGGTGGATCGTGGTGAACGAGGTGCGGCTGCTGGCCTCGCTGTCACACCCCAACGTGGTGGTGTTCAAGAGCAGCTTTGTGGAGGATGGCTGCCTGAATGTCATCATGGAGGTGGTGGCACATGGCGACCTGTCAGCGGTCATTGAGTGAGCGGCGCTGCGGGGTGCCGGATGCATGGCAGGAAGCCGGCTTCGGTGCTTGGCGGCCGCTTGCCGGCCTGCTGTCGCGAGGCTGCTTCGCAGGTCGACGGGTGCCTGCTCGCCGCCGCCCGCCGCGCCGTGCCTGTGCAGGCAGCACCGCAAGGACGGCCGCCGCATCTCAGAAGACACAGTCTGGGGCTACCTGCTGCAGGCGCGCAGCTGGGCTGGGGGCGGCGGGGGGTGCCGGGCCTTGCCAGGCCCTGCTCTCACTGCAGTTTCGGCGCCGCCATTTGCCCACCTTTCTCTCCCTCGCCCCCCCTGCGGCCCCCTCCCCCCTCCATATGCGCAGGTGGTGCTGGGCCTGCAGCACCTGCACGACTCAGGCATCATCCACCGCGACGTCAAGCCCGCCAACATCCTGATTGGGCGGGACGGTGTGCTGAAGATCGCCGACCTTGGCGTGGCCGGCCTGCTGCACATGGGCAGCAGCAAGCTGCAGGTGCGCTGGCGCAGGCTGGGGGGGGCCAATGCGCGTGTGGTGGTGGGTGGGGGAGCGGCGTGGGGGGGATCCGTGCTTGCTTGGCAGCTGGGGCCAGGGGCCGCGCTTGGCGGCTTGGAGGCGCAGCCACGGCGCCTGCTCCCCGCTCCTGCCTCGGCATGGCCAGCTGGCTGGCGGGTTCCGACTCCACTCTGCGTGCCTGGCCGTGACGTCCAGAGCCATTCGACCCAGCCCTTGTCCCTGGCCGCTGCAGATTGGCACGCTGCAGTACATGGCCCCCGAAATGCACGCTGGGCTGGACTACAGCTACGCGGCCGACGTGTGGAGCCTGGGCTGCCTGGTGTACGAGCTGTGCCAGCTGGAGCCGCTGTTTGGGGACCGAGAGGAGGAGGTGGTGGCGAGGAAGGTGCAAATGCAGGGGCGGCAGTGGCTGCAGGACACGAGTGCGGGTGGTGGGGGTGGGGTGCCACCGCAGCTGCCGATGGCAGGTGTGTGGCGTCGGCAGCCTGGCCGCCGCCCACCCACCCACATCGCCCCTTGACGCCACCGCCCCGCCGCCTCCCGCGCCTCGGCTTGGCCCGCGCCGCAGGTCCGCGGCCTGCTGCTGCCTCCCGCCATCCCGGCCAAGTACTCTCCCGAGCTGCAGATCATGGTGAACCGCATGCTGCAGCAGGACCCCAAGGCGCGGCCCAGCTTGGGCGCCATCCTGGCCTCGCCGCAGATGCAGGTGCGGAGGGCGTGGCCTGCGGGGCGCGCCGCGTGGCGCCGCGGAAAGGGAGGCAGGCATGGCCGGCAGGGCACCGACGCCCCTCAGCTGCGACTGGTTGCTGCGCTGGGCACACAGCCCTGTGCCCCTGCCACCCCTTACCGCCCGCCTACCCAGCCAGCCAGTCGCCCACTCTCGCGCATGCACGCCTTCATTCCTGTACAGAGCCGCATGGAGCAGCTGCCTGCTGAGCTGTCCACAGAGCTCAGCCTGCGCACCATGTCGCTCGACTGCATGGAGGTGCGGCGCCGCCGGCGCTGTCGAGGGGATCGTGTCAGCCGCACGCTTGCCATGCTGCCGCCTGTTGCCACCCAGGGCCAGTGGGTGTCTGCAGCTCCGTGGTGGCTGATGAATGGGCATGCCCCATGCGTGCAGGGCGTGCCAATCCTGCCAGCCATCGATGTGCCCGCCGACCTGTCGCAGCTCAACTCGCGGTTGCCGGCGCCGCGGTGAGATGTGGGCTGCCGCTGAGACGCAATTGGGCAGGGCCTGGGGAGCCACCCTGCCTGCCGACTCTCTCACACACACACACACACACACATGCGTACACTTCCCATTGGTCTGCAGTGGCAGCTTTGAGCACATGCATGAGGCAGCTGAGATGGCGGAGCGGCTGGGGCTGCCTGCCATCCCCCTGCCCAAGCCCGCCCAATGCAGCTGCAATGACGGCGGGGCGGCATCAGCCGCCGCCGAGGACAAGGCAGCTGGAGGCCTGCAAGTTTCGAGTCCCGTGACAGTCATGGAGGGATGCGACAGCGGAACTGCCTCCTCCACCATGTCGGTTATCGATGCAGCGGTGGCGGCTGCGCTAGCGGCTGAGAAGGCCGCTGCGTACCAGATCTGAGCTCAGTCGGCAACTGCCTGTATCTGCCCCACTTGTGTGCTGTTTTCGTCCCAACCTTTTTGTCGGATGTTTTGCTTACTTTTCAGACTTTTCTGTGATTCCATTCATTGCTGTGGAATGCAAGAACCTGCTCCCGATTGTTTGATTCAATACTTTTTCAACTTTCAACGTACCCCTTTTTTCATTACGTGTTGTGGGAATACTTATGCCCAATGGTTTCAATCTTGTTGCTCAGAAACCGAAAAGCAATGGGCGCAAGGTTGTCCTGCTCCCACCTCTCGCCCTTTGTGCTGCCTCTTCCGGGCCCCACCCATGTTGCGCCTCCATTGTCCCGGCCTGTTTCCGGAGCCCCTGCTTCCCCTGGGTGGCCACCGCTTCCCACTCCCAACCACCGGCCTGTGTCGCCGCCTTTGCCGCCGTCTACCGCCACCAGCATGATGCAACGCAGTTCGGCTGACAGGCACTGGACTGGCAGTGTGGCAGTGGGCTCACAGGGCAAGCCTGTGCTGCAGCCTGCTAGAGGGAGGGCTTTGTCCTGCCATGCAGGCCGGTAGCGCTTGCAGCACCGGCGACCCTCTGCTCTGCTTGCTGCGCTGGCCAGTTTACATGTGGGGCAGCCTCCGGCCATGGCCGCAGAAGCTTCCTGCCAATCATGAGGTTGCCCATGCACATGCAAGCTTTCTGGCTGTCCAATAAGCGACACAGCGGGGATGGACGAATGAAAGCCAGCAATTGTTGTGAGAGAATACTGCACCAGCCTCGAGCCGCAGGCTGGCAGCCAGTTGCTCCGCGCTGCGGCGGCCACGGCGCCCCGCCTCACGCGGGCAGCAGCAGGAAGGGATGGCACAGGGCCTGGCTGGCACTCAGGCGGCCGCGGTTGAGCTCGTTCTTCAGGCACAGCAGCTTGACAGCCAGGTCCCAGCCTGAGGCAGGAGGCAGGGCGAGAGGTGCAGGGGGCGTGGGCGGTGGGCCGGGGTGAACAGGAAGGGAGGATGCCAGGTGCATGCTCCGTGGGCGGCACCTGCCCTGGCCCTGCCACAGGGCTGCCCCAGGCTCCAAGCGAGGCAGTACTCGCAGGCGAGGCTGTCTGCAGGCGGGCAGGCAGGCAGGCAGGCTCCACCCACCCTGGCCGCCGCCACGGTCCAGCAGGCTGAAGTCCATTGAGCGAGCCTTGGGGCTGGTGCTGCAAGGAGGGAGGTGGGCAAGGCAGGCGGGGCAGGAGGGAGGTGAAAGGGAGGGAAGGGTGGCGGGAAGGCGCCTGCCCAGGAGATGGCGGGGAGACGGGCGGCCACGGCGACGCAGCACACAGCAACGCAGCGCAGGGCGAAGGCAGCCGCAGCACGCCCACAAAGCGCCGCCGGCAGCGGTGCGGCCCTCCCGCAACGGCCTCGCAGCAGCGCCGGCGCTGTACTGCTGCGCTGGTGCGAACCCGGCCTCACCTCCTCCACCTGTTCAGGTCGTACCCGCAATTTGCCAGCTCAGCGTTGAAGCTGCGCTGCGAGGCGCCCGGCCGCAGCTGGGGGATGGACAGCTGCAGAGCAGGTGGGCGCTGGGGAGGGGTGGGCGCTGGGGAGGGGTGGGCGCTGGGGAGGGGTGGGCGCTGGTGGCGCAGCCAGGTGCGCTGCGCTGCGGGTGGGTCGCCTCCTCCGCACCGCGCCAGCACACAAAACCACACACCCAAACCTGCATCCAACCACAGAAGCAGTGCACACCCCCACCCAGCCGTCCCACCTGCATGAGGATCATGCCCGCCGAGTACGAGTCGAAGAGGTCGGGCGCGCCCCAGGCCCAGGCGCAGGGTGCCAGCGTGGCGGCCAGCACGGGGGGCGGCGCGCGCGGGAAGTTCTTGGGCATCACCAGCTCCTCGGGGGCTGCGGGTGGGTGTGGGAGGGGTGGGAGCATGGAGCGTGTGTGCGCGTGCGTGGAGTGTGTGGGGGCGTGGAGTGTGTGTGTGTGTGTGTGGGTGTGTGTGTGTGTGTGGGGGGGGGGGGAGGGTGGCGTGTGTGTGTGTGTGTGGGAACGTGGATGTGCACGTGTGGATCACCGCTGGCCTCCCCATTCCAAACACAACCAGGCACCACCCACCCGCGTATCTGGGGTCCAGCATGCCGTACTCGGGGTTGAAGTTGATGCCCGTGGACAGGTCGCACGCGGCGCCAAAGTCGATCAGCTTGATCTGGGGGCAGCAGGTGTGTGTGCGTGTGTGTGCACCGAGTGTGTGGGTCGTGCCGGGCATGATGGCGGTATTTGTGCATATGTGTGCGGCAGGGGCGTGCCCCGCCCCGCCTGCCCTCCTCCCACGCGCCACCCACCCCTCGCACACATCTCCCACACCGCCCACCTGCCCGTCCGCCGTGAGGATGATGTTCTCGGGCTTGATGTCGCGGTGCACAATGCCCAGCGAGTGCAGGCGTTCCAGGGCTGCAGGCGGGGACGCGGGTGGAGGGAGGGTCAAGGCATGCGCGTGGCACGGCGAGCGTGCACTTCTGCGCAGTGTGCGGTGCTGCAGCGGCGGCGCGCCCCCAGGGTAGGCAGCGCAGGCCCGTGGCCCCGCCGCGCCGCTATCCTACAGAGGCGGGACTTGCTGTGCAAGAACGACGGCGGTACGCTGCTGCGCGCCCCCTCCACACAAACACGCACACAGCCTCACCCACAAACAGCTTCTTCATCACAGCCTTGACCGTGGCCGCCGCCCGCTTCTCCTCGTCCCACCCCTGCGCACGCCGCCCAAGCATGATGCCCGACAGGCAATCCTGCAGGGAGGGAGGAGGGTGGGAGCGGCGCGGCAAGGGGGGGAGAGCATGCAAGGTGGGTGGGGGCAGGCATTGAGGGTTTAGGCGGGCAGGCAGGGGAGGCAGGTCGCAGCCCTGCTACAACGCAAGCCCAGTGGGTGCACCAGCCGCCCGCTGAACCGCGACGCCTCTGTCCTCCGGGCGCAGCCCAGCAGCCCAGCCCAGCAGGCGTGCAGACCCCCGGGCCAAGCCATGCGCTTCCCAGGGCCGGCCACCGTGGGAATGCTCCCGGTTCCGCCCGCCGCCGTTTGCACGACCATGTATGCAATGTGAGGCCCCCCGTCACTCACAGGGAAGGGCCCCAGGGTGCCGTCGCAGGCGTCACCCAGGGTGGAATCCGACTCAAACTTCCACACCAGCCACTGGGATCCCGAGGTGATGCCGCCGGAGGTACTGCTGGCCTGGAAGTATCCCAGATACTCCGCCACCACGCGCCGCACCTGCAGCGGTGCAAGGTGCACGCATGCGCGGTGGTGGGCGAGGGCTGGCCCCCCTTGCAGCACTGGGCAGCCACCCGCGGCCCTCCCATACCAGCGGCACCGCACCTGCAGGCAACGCAGCCCTGCCATCCACACCAAACACACGCACGCACCCAGGCAGACGCACACACACAGGCAGGCAGGCAGGCAGGCCCACACAACAGGCAGGCACCTGCGGGTGGCGCATCACGCGGGCACACATATAAGCCTCCACAAAGCCCGTCTCGGCCGCGCCCCGCGCAATGGTGCCCGCCTGCCGTGCAGCGGGGAGGCACGGGGGCAGGGTCAGGGGAGGCCAGGGGCGGCCGCCGAAGCGCCCTCGCTGGCTGGCCGAAGTGCCGCCGCTTCTGTGCCGCCGGGCGAGCACGGCAGCGTTGCAGGCAGTACATCCCACGGTATTAGCAAGTGTGGTACCGCTGGTACCTTGAGGAAGTTGGTACGGATGCCCTGGGCGTCCATGTTGGCCTTCTTCAGGATCACGCTGCAGGCGGGATGAGGCGGTACGCCGTGCAAGGATGCTGTGTTGTGGGTCCGTGTGTCGTGTGATGGTGCATGCCGTGGTGGGTTGTGCGCGATGTGCACCCCCAGCGCTGCCTGCTCCAGGGCTGCCACTGCTGCTGCCTGCCTGCTGCCCCGCCAACCGTGGCACCACCACGCACACCACACACGCACAGACACATGCACACACGGGCAGAGACAGATTCAGACGCAGCCTCCCTCCCGGCCCTCACCGCCGCTTCTTCTGCTCTGGGCTGAGCTCCCGGGTGATTGGGTCGGGCAGGCCGTTGGCGTTGATGAGGCCCTCAAACACTGCGGGGGAGGCAGGGGGGCATTGCCCGGTGGGCGGAACAGGTGGCGCCACAGGCGGCTGCCCTCAACCTAGGCAACCAGCCACAGCCCGCCCCAGCGGCCAGCCCACCCCAGCGCCCAGCCCGCTGCCAGCCAGCCACCCCTGCCCCAGCCATAGCCCATAGCCCAGCCCAGCCCAGCGCGCAGGCCAGCCCCACCCACCCTGCCCGTAGTTGCCGCCACCCAGGCGCTCCCGCAGCGTGAAGTCCGCCTCCGAGAAGCGGCGCTGCAGCAGGCGGGCTATGGGGTTGAGCAGATAAAAGTCCAGCAGGCCTGCAGGCGGTGGGAGCGGATGTGTGTGTGGTCATGTGTGTGTGCGTGCGTGCGTGTGTGAAAGTGTGGCGGTGCTGGCGGTGTGGGTCGACAGCAAGCCGGGGCAGGGAGGGTGCGGAGAGGGCAGGGCCAGGGAGCGGCAGCGCCTGACCGGGCGGTGGCGTGCAGCGGGGGGGGCACACGGTTCACACTCGTCCACAGCCCCCGAGCCAGCCCATCCCATGACACCTCCCAGCCAGCCTCTCGCGCACATCCACCCCAGGCGCTCAGCCACCCAGCAAGCCATGCTCCCGCCCACAACAGCAACCAGCCGGCCTCTCCCTCCGAGCCCCGCCCACCTACAACGGGCGAGGGGCGGGCGAGGAAGAAGTAGTAGAGGGCGCCCAGGCGGGCCGCGCCCCAGGCCGTGGGCTGCATCGCCGCCACGTCAGCCAGATCTGCAGGGCGCGGGAAGAAAGCGGCGGGCGCATGTGACCGTGTGTGTGTGTGTGTGTGTGTGTACACGTGGCGGGTGGTTTGTGGCGAGGTGGTGGTGCGTGGTGAGCGATGTGCCCAGGCGGCCGGCGAGGCAGTGGGAGCGAAGGCAGGAGGCCCGGATGAGCGGCGAGCCTGAGAGTAGCTTGCCGGCGGCCCAACCAGCGACCCAGCGGGCCCAGCCTTCCGCAGCCCAGGGCGCAGCGCCGCACCTGTCGCCAGGATGGTGGCGGCGCTGGCGAGCGGCGCGGGCCAGGCGGCGGTGGCGCCTGCCACAGCCGCCGGCCAGCCCGCGGCCACGCTGCTGGCCAGGGTCAGCAGCTCTTGCGGGTCTGCTGCCGCCTGCGCCGGGGCCGCGCGCCGCTGCTGTCGTGGCCGCGGCGGCAGCAGCAGCGCGGGGGGCGACGCGCCGGTACGCCGAAGGCTGCGCCCGGCTGCCGCGCTGCTGCCTAGCTGACAGTGACATGCAGCCGCCACCATGGGGTGTTCGCTTCGGCTTCTGCAAGAGAAAAGGGCATGACATGATCTCTGGTTGGCATTGATCCAGGAGCTGGGCCACAAGCGCGACGACAGAGGTGCGCGCGGCGGCAGCGGCGGCGGCAGCGCTGCCGCTCCGCCAGAAACGCCGCTTGCGAGGCTGGCGGGCATCACCCGCAATCCGGCGCTGCACATCCCGGCACTGGCAGCGCGCAGGGGCGGCGGGGAAGCGCCGCAGAGAGCGTGAACCCAGCACCTGTAGGAGGGGAATGGCCCAGTGGGAGAGTGCCAGCCGTCGCGATACTGGTGCCAATTGGCCGCAGGATGACCGGAGATAGACGATGGCCGCGAGCCGGCTGCGCAGACAGGCGGGGAGGGTTTCCAAGCTGAGAGTTGGCCACCGGCCTGAGCTCTACTGCGCCAAGCAATGACAGTGTTGAGCGATGCGTGCAGAGGCACCCGCTCCTAATGGGAGAGATTTGGGCGTGATGTGGCGTGAGCTGGCGGGTGGCGGCGCAGCCTGCACCAAGGGCCTTGCGCAAGGTGCCACACGCAAGGCGCCACAGGCGGGGGAGATTGCCTAGGCTCTAACCCTCTGGGTCTCCAAGGGTCACCCATACCAACGCGTCCAGCATGCATGCGAGCAATGCTCCTAGGAAGGCGCCGCACCTCCAGCAGCGGTGCTGCCAGGTGCCGCCTGCCGCTGCAAAATGCGGCGCCCAGTGCGCTGAGCTCGGCTCTTTACATGCAAAGCAAGCAGCGCAGCAACAATGACCAAATTGCAGAGTAAGCAAAAAACACTGGATAGAAAGTCAGATGCAGCCTTCAATCCAGGCCAACAGCCGCGCCCACTTCTTCCCGTTGCTCGCCATCTGCCTCCTGCTGATCCACCGCCTCCCCTGCTGGCAATAGCTGCGGCGGAAGCTGCCCCCTCAGCTCCTGGCTCATCTCCTCCGCCTCTGCCCAGAGCCGCTGCCACGCTGCATTTTGCGGCAAACTTGCCTGGAAGGCGGCCATGCTGGTGCTGCTGACTGGCTGGCCGGGCTGCTGCGTTGCTGCCGCAGCCACCATGCCAGCAAAGTCTGCGTCTGCGGCTCTTGATACATCCTTCACACTGATGAAGTCAGGCTCCCCAGCTGCTCGCCTGCTGGCTGGCAGTCCCCGCTGGCGCCGCCACTCCCGCCTGGCAGGCCCTTTGCTTGCCACCAACAACGGCTGCAATCCCAGGTGGTCAAGGAAGAGCAGGCGGGCAGCAAGCCTCTGTATTGACACAGTTGCAACATAGCTGGCCCAGCTGTAGATCACCTGGGCAGCCGTGGGATGCCCTGGCATGCACCGCTGCAGCGCCAGCAGGTTGGCCAGCAGGGCAGGATTCAGCCAATTCAATGTGAGCACGTTAGCGCGATTTCTGGAGACGGCATGCGGGTCCGCCACGCCACACAGCCGCATCACCGCCAGATTACGCCGCCATAGAGAGGGTGGCACGGGAAGCAGCCCTGGGGCGGCATTAACCATCTCGCACGCCGCATCCCTGCCAAACTCCTGCAACGGCGGTTTCGAACAAATAGCCAGCAATGGTTTAACACTGCAGACGGCAATAAGGAGGCAGTAGGCTGGCAAGCAACCTGCCATAAGCTCCCTAAGCATCAGTGGCTGCAGCCGCCATGTTGGCATGCCACACGATGCATCAGCAGCCTATCTCACCACAGCAAGCGCCTGTACTCGCTCGCGGAAGGTGTCCACACTGCAGTTAGCCCCGCGAGGCTGCCGCCGCAGAACCTTGAGCCACAGCTGGCGGTCGCCGCCCAGCTCCTGCTGCAGCGCTGCCTCCAGCTCCGCTAGGTGCTCAGGAGGCCGAGTGAATAGGGACCACCCATGGGTGTGCAGGCTTGCTGCCAGTTGCTGCTTGCTGAACCCAAGCTGAAGCAGATGGTTGATTGTATTCTGGAGACGCTCGCCAGTACACTTCAACAGTTCCGCTGCGGTGGAGTGCTTCGTCAGCACCTCCCCAAGCAGCTGCTCGCCACTGGCAGGCTTGCCCGCCGTGCTACCGGCAGCCAGCAGCGCTGCCAGCACCACTATGGCCGGCTCAAAGCTGGGTGAACCGGCTGCTGCCTGCTGCGTTTCAAAACAGCGCGCTGCTGCTGCCGCCGTCATGCCCAGCTGCCCCGTCAGCTGGCCAAACAGCAGTAGTGGCCGCTTCTCGGGTGGCCGACTGAACAGCTCAGGACAGCGCTGCAGCAGCTGCGCCATTTGCTGCAGCTCGATCCCCAGACTGCGCAAGTATGCTGCTACAGCTAGACCGTGGTCGATCACACCCTGTTGCCGTGGAGCATGCAGAGCAGCCACCGCCCGAGCCAGCGCCGCCATGTCGGCGACGGCGCACTGCGCAGCCAGCGGCTCCAGCTTGGCTGCCAGGCCGGGATCCACAGGCACCATCTTGCCCCTCCGCTTCACCATCTCGGGCTCGATGCTGCCATCGCTGCTGCCAGCGGCACCATGAGATGCGGCAGGCTGCCAGTAGCTGCGGGGATGTGGAAGGCAACGATCAACTACCTGGCTGTACGGAGGCTGCTGCACACAGGGCAGTCAGTTCCGGGAAAAGTAACGTGCGGAGCCAGAAGCGCAGGGGCCTGTCTGCTTGCCACGGGTTGAGGGGGCCTTGGCGGGGGAAGCACCAGTAAGCTCGGCAAGGGGTCCCAAAGCCGCCCAGGGCAGGCTTCCCCCCCAATGCCCCCACTCCTTCCCAGACATTGGCGTCTCAGCTCACCTCTACAGCAGGTACAATCACAAAAGATCGGACCCGCCAGCTTGGAGTGGGCGCTTCTGTTCCGCCGCCAGGCTGCCCCGCTCTCACCGCTGTCCACTCGTCTGCCAGGGCGCCGCTGCAGCTGGCTGCCCCGCTAATAATGAGCGCATCGATTCTGCAGCTGTTCACCAGCGCTGCCGACAGGGAGCGTGCAGCAGAGGAGGAGCCCACCCGTCGAGACAGCGCCAGTGCCATGACGCCGCAATCGATTGCGCTGCGGTGCCTGCGAGTGCTGTTGCCGCTATGAATGGCGCAGCTGCAAGCTTATGACTGCCACAAGGGTTTTGGTGCCAGCAGGGTTGCAAACCCCTTTATTCATTTATTGAGCTCTATTTATCTATTTATTGACATAGCTACTCAACTGTCCCGCAGATGCCATGGCTGGACCGCTAAAGGACAGGCAGCAAGGTGGAGGAGGCAGCAGGTACCATCAGTCGGCAGGCACAGCGCCACCGCTACAGCAGTAGGCACCCGCAGCAAGGGAATTGGGCATGTCTGACACAGCCTCTCAACTAACTGCAAGGCTCCGGAAAGTTGCTCAGCTGCTAATGCTCGCACTCAATTCATCCTGCTGCATGCGCTCCCGCGCCTCTGCTGCCACCTGTACGCCCCAGTGCGCCAGCAGGCTCTGCGCCTGCAGGTCTGCTGCCGCCTCTGCCTGCAGCAGCCGCCGGTCAGCCTCTGCCACGCCCCCTGCCTGCGCCAGGGCCAGCTTCACCTGCCGCTGCTGCTCCAGCGCCTCCACCGCATGCGCCGCCTGGCTGCGCACGGCAGACGCGCGCTTGCCAGTGTCTGCCGGTGGGCGCTGGCCGTTGCTAATGGGCAGCTCGGCCGACGACAGCGGCTGGCTGTCCTGCAGGCGTGGAAGGGCGGGGCGTGGAAGGGGCGGGGCCGGATCAGGTGTGGCTTCACACGGGAGGGCAAGGGAGGTCCTGCCGCTATTGCCGCTGATGCTGACCATGCACATTGCTGCAGGCACCATGTCGAACAGATGCGCCAGCAAGCGACAACAAGGATGCCTGAGGCTCCTCGGCTCCAAGCAGCCAAGCTGACTCCTGCACGCCGCCACCCGACCACGCCAGCCGGGCTGCCCAGGCCCGCCACTCACCGGGCGCGCTGCCGGGCCCAAAAGCACCCGCTCTGCCGCCGTCAGGGCCGCAGCCTGCACCAGCAGCGCGCCCCAGTCGGCCAGCTGCTGGGTGCGCCGCGCCTCCACCTCAGCCGCCTCCAACTCACACCCATCCTCTGCCTCCGCCCGCTCTGCCGCTGCCGGTGCCGCTGCTGGCGGCGCCACGTGTGGATAGCGTTTGATGGCAGCTGGCGCCATGGCAGATGGTGCTGACATGGCAGCGCTGGCACCAGTTTGCTGCCCCGGCGGCACAGCGCCGCTGCTGGGTGCCGTCGTTGCAGTGCCTGGGCCGCTAGGGCAGCTGCTCGCTGCAGCGCGGCCAGCACGGGGAGCCTGGGACTTGGCATGCTGGACCTGTGGCTGTTGCAGCTGCTGCGCGGGAGGAGGCGCTGGTTGGCCCTGCTTTGGCGCGGCAGTCTTGCCCACCAGTGCTGCTGCCGCTGCCGCCCCGGTGGCTGGCGCCTGCGTCCCGTCGCGGCCGTGCCCGCGGGGCAGCTTGCGAGGTGACCAGCCAGCACCGCCGCTGCTGTTCTCTGCCTTCATGGCTGGTGGCTGGTGCGGGGCAGCTGCTGCTGCAGGTGTTGGCACGGGTAGTGGGCCTGCCGCACCCGCCGCTGCTGTGGCGGCGCTGCTGATGCTCCGACGCTCGTCCCCATGCCTGCTGCTCGCCACATCACCACCACCGCTGCCGCCACTGCGGGCTGGGCGTTCCGCAGCCGATGGCGGCGGCACTTGGGAGCCTGCGCTGCGGCCCGGCTTGGGTGCGTGCCAAGCAGCTGCTGCAGGGTTCCAGCTCTGGCCGCCGCCTGCTGCAGTTGAGCCCACCCTGCGCCATAGGCAACCCAAAAGAGGATGTCGGTGCAACATTCCCTGCACCTGCCGCAGGCATGCAGCTGAACTTCAGATCGACCCATTCCGGCGCCAGCCGACCAAGCCGCTACCCAGCTCACTTGCTGGCCGCCGCCGCCACCGCGGCCATCTTGGCGGCGCGCAGCCGTGCAGCCTCCTCCTCCCGCCGCTGCTGGCGCTCCAACTTCTTCTGCAGCGCGTAGGCGGCCAAGTCTTCCTTGCCCAGCGCCTTGACGGCGGGCTGGGGCGGCGGAAGCGCAGTGACAGCTGGCGGCCGGCCGCTGCCGCCGCTTGCGTTGCCGGACTGCTGTTCCTGCGGCGGCGCGCGGGGCGGCGCGGCCCTCGGACGGGCCGTGTCCACCGCCGCGGCTCGTCGGCGGCCTGGCGGGTTCATGTTTGGGGCCGTGTGCAAAGCGGCAGAAACCAAAGAGTCTAAAATGGCCAGGCGGCGCTGGCAAGAGATCTCTTGGATGTAGTCGACTGCCAGTGCAAGCGGCTGCAGCGTGAGGGCCTGGAACGGCCAAAACAGATTTGCATGGCTCCTGCTGCGCCTCGTGCTGTGCTCCAGGGTAGCCCATTCCGCCATCTGCTGGGCCCGGACGGTGTTTTGGCGGTGGTTTGCATTGCGCTCGACAGCCAAGACACGCCAACGCTCCAAACCGCGCGGAAAGTTGAACGCTCATCACCCCAGAGCCTCCCCAGGCTCGCAAGGGCACTGCAGACGGCCTTACACGGCTCACCACAGCAGTATGCCGGCTCTCCGCCCCCACCTATGAGCCTGCGGCACCCACGCGGCCCGGGCGTCTATCGGGACCCCAGTCTGGGCTTTGTGGGCTATGGGGCTCCGCCCGGCAGCAGGTGGGTGCTTTTGGGAGCCCTGCACCACACCAGCGGCGCGGCCCCAGCTGGGCCCAGCTGACGCTCACCGCTGCCGCCGCCACTAACAACGCACGCTGCCCCTTGCCCGCCCGCCTCTCCGTCCTGCAGGGCCTCGCAGCAGCAGGCAGGGCTGTGGGAGGACCCGGAGGACCCGTCCCTGGGCTACACGACATACAGCCTGGATGAGAACGGTGGGGCGTATGGCAACCGCACCGCCGCGGCCGGCGGGCGCCCACCCGGCGTCAAGCCACGCACCTCTGCCGGTCGGCACGGCCACCACGCAGCGGGCGGCGAGCCAGCAGCGGCGCCACTACCCGCCCGCTACCAAAACCAGCAGGCATACGCAGGCGGGGCGCATGCCGCAGGGGATGCGGCGCTGGCTGGCGGCGCGGGCGCGTCGTCGTCGGCCTCGCCCGCGGCGCTGCCTGCCGCCGCAAAGACCGACATTCTGCGGGATGTGGATGGCTTTGTGATGTCGCTGCCACTGGGCACAACCCCAGGTGCGTGGCCTGGCGCAGGAGGAGAGCACAGGCCACCAGCGGGGCTGCCTGAGATCGCCGTGTGCCCGCATATTCCGGCAGCCTGCCGTCTTCCGCGCCGCTCCCGGCCACTCACGCAGCTGGCCCGGGGCCCCTGCTTGCGCTGCAGGCGACGCGGAGATTGAGGAGGCGGTGGCGTCCCGCCTGTACCGCGCTGAGCTGGCACGGGCCGAGGCGCAGGCCAAGCTGGGGGAGTGGTGAGGCGGCTGCGCACCCCCAGTCACATAATTGAGCCGCACTAGGCTTGCAGAACAGGGTGCCGGAGTTAGGGAGTGCTTGACTGCTGGCCGCCTGGTGCTGCCGCCCTCACGGCTGCCTCTCCCTGCCGCCACGCAGGTCCCAAGTGGCCCTGGAGCTCAAAGAGGTGGTGCAGCAGCAGCAGGCGCAGCTGGAGCAGCAGGCGGGCAGCGCAACCGGCGCCCGCCCTGCGGCGCGTGCTGGCCAGCAGGCGCGGGGCCGCTGGCTGCCGGCGGGCTCGCCGGCGGCCGCCGCCAAGCCCCACATCGCTCACCTGCAGCGGCTGGTGGCAGATATGCGGCAGGAGCTGCGGCAGCCGCCTGGCCCGCACGCCGCGCTCTCCCCTGGCGCTGAGCTGGCGGCGGCGGGACCGGCTCCCCAGTATGCCGCCGGCTGGGACGACGGCGCCCCCCAGCAGCAGCAGGCAGAGGCGGAGCAGGCGCGTGCCGAGCTGGCCGCCGCGCGGCAGCAGCTGCGCCAGCTGCAGGCCGCCCACGATGCGCTGGCTGCGGCGCAGGACGCGGCGCGGGCCGGCGGCGCGGCCGAGGCGGCGGCGGCGCAGATGCAGCTTGAGCATGCTGTCCGGGAGGCGACGGCGGCGAGGGCAGAGAAGGAGCGGCTCCGGCGGGCGCTCATCGATGCAGAGATTGAGCTGCAGGGCAAGGCGAATGAGGCCGCCGCCCTGAGGCAGCAGCTGGCTGCGGCGCAGGCAGACAAGGGCGCCGCGGCCCAGGCCGCAGCGGCCGAGCTGGCGGCGGCGCGGGGCGACGCGGACAGCCTTCGTCAGCAGCTGGCGGCGGCGCGGGCGGCGGCCGAGGAGCAGGGTGCGGCCACTAGCGAGCGTGACGCCCGGCTGCAGCAGGCGCAGCAGGCTGCCGACAGGCTGGCCGCAGCGGCGGCCGCCGCGGAGGCCGCCGCCGCCGCCCAGCGGCAGCAGCGGGAGGCTGCCGAGGGGCTGGTTGCGCAGCTGCAGCTGCAGGTCGCGCGCCTGCAGGCGGCGGCCGCCAGCAGCGGCAGCGCTGCGGCGGCGGAGGCCGCTCTGCTGCAGGAGCAGCTGGCAGTGGCGACGCAGCGGGAGCAGGGCGCCCAGCGGGAGCTGCAGCAGGCCCAGCAGCAGCTGGCGGCGCTGAGGCAGGCGCACGGCGAGGCGCTCAACGTGGCCCGCGGCAGCCAGCAGGCGGCGGCGGAGGCGCGGCAGGAGGCGGCGGCGGGGAGGTTGGCGGCGGAGCAGGCCCGGCGCGGCGCCTCGGCTGCTGCCGCCGTCACACCTGAGATGCTGGCCGAGAGAGAGCAGGAGATCGGGTGAGGCTGATGCCGGTTGCTGAGCTGCTTGGAGACAGGCCGCTGGCAGTGCAGCAGTGCCGGCATTCCAAGAGCCTCTCGGCTTCCTCCCTCACTCGAAGCATGCGTCTGCATCCTCGCCCACCCGTCTGCCCCCCCACCCTGCCTGCACCCCTGCAGCGCCCTCAAGGCCGTGCTCGACCGGGTGACCGCCGCAGCGCAGCAGAAGGACGGCCAGATAGCGGCGGCGCAGCGAGAGGCGGCCGTCGCCGCTGCCGCTCGCGACGCCGCTCTGGCCGACAAGGCGGCGGCCGAGGAGGCGGCGGCCGGGTGGCGCGAGGCGGCGGCGGGCGCGGAGGCCGCGTCGGCCGCCCTGGCGGCGGCGCGGGCGCGGGGCGCGGAAGCCGAGCAGCAGCTGCTGTCGGCGCAGGTGCGCGACGCGGCTGACGCGCAGCGCTGGGAGGCGCAGCTGCTGGCGGCGCAGCGGGAGCTGCAGGAGGCGCAGCGGGTCGCCTCGGTCGCCACGTCAGCGCAGCAGGCCCTTCATGCTGAGGTGGCGGAGCTGCGGCAGCTGCTGTCTGCCAAAGACCAGCAGATCGGAGCGCTCAGCAGCACCGCCGCCGCCAGCCGGCCCGGCAGCGCCGACAGCGGCGGCTCCAGTGGCGGCTCGCCGGCGGCGGCGGCTCTGCAGGCCCAGCGCATGCAAGCGCAGGTGAGCCCTGCTCCCTCTCTCCTACACGATTCCCGGGCGCGGCCTGCTGCTGCTGCCGTCGCTGCTGCTGTTGCGACTGGGAGCTCAGTTTTGCCTGCATGCAGAGCTTTGCATGGGGTGGTTTGCCCGCTGTTCAGCAGGGTGCCTGGTCGCCTCCCTCCCCGTCTGCTATGCTCATTGGCTGCCACTCACCCCTCCCCCCCTGCCCTCCTGCCTCCGCCGTGCTCTGCTGCAGGTTGTAGAGCTTCTGTCCAAGGTTTCTGCTCTCAAGGAGGCCCTCAGTGCCCGGGATGAGGCTGCTGAAGCGGCAGCCGCTGCCGCCGCCTCTGCGGAGCGGCAGCGGGTGGAGGCCGAGCGGCGCCTGGACGCCGCGCAGGAGCAGCAGCGTGCGGCGCAGAGTGCGGCGGAGCAGGCGGAGCAGCGGGCTGCTGGCGCCGGAGCCGCGGCAGAGGAGTGGCGGCAGCAGGCTGCGGTGCTGCGGCAGCAGCTGGAGGCGGCGCCTTCCGCCAAGGGGCCCGTGGCCAGCCAGGGCGTGCAGGTGGACCCGCCTGTGGTGCCAGCGGCAGCCGCGGAGCCGCCTGTTCAGCCAGCGGTACTGAATATCACAGTGGTGGAGCTGGAGGCTGCGGCGCAGGAGGCACAGCCGCAGGAGACGGCCGCCCAGCACCAGCAGCGGCAGGAGGCCGAAGGGCAGGGCGCGCGTGCGGCTGCCGCCGCGGGCGAGGCGGTTGCGCGGCTGGAGCAGGAGCTTGCTGCCCTGCAGCGGCAGTGCGATGAGCTGCGGGGGCGGGCGGCGGCGGCCGAGGCGGGGCGCGAGGCGGCGGCCGCCGAGCATGCCAGCCGCCTGGCGCAGCTGCACCGGCAGCACCAGGATGCGGTGGGCGAGGTGAGGCTGGAGGCGGCGGCCGCGGCGGCCATGCTGGAGCAGCGCCACGAGCAGCAGGTGGCGGAGCTGCGGCAGCAGCACGGCGCAGAGCTGGAGCAGCTGCAGGAGCTTCATGATGACGAGATGCAGCTGCTGCTGCGCCAGCACGCCGACGCAGAGGTGGCGGTGGCCGCGGCGGCGGCCGCCGCGGCGGCGCTGCCCGGCTCGGCGCCGCGCGCCGCCGCCGGCACGCCCTCCCCACTGCAGCGCCGCTTCGAGCAGCGGCTGCGCCAGGTGCGGGAGCAGCACGCCGAGGAGCTGGCTGAGGTGCTGCTGCAGCAGGAGGCTGCGGTGGAGGGGGCGCGGCGCGCCGCCGCCGCTGCCGCCCAGCTGCAGCTGCACTCGCTGCGGCAGCAGATGGAGGCCCTGGCTGCGGAGCAGGAGCAGCAGCTGGCGGCGCTGCGGAGGCGGTACGAGGCGGAGGCGGAGGGCCGGGAGCTGCAGCACCTGGCTGAGCTGGAGGCGGCGCAGGAGGGCGGCGAGGTGCGGCGCGGCGCCTGCACCCGGCGGCGGTCCTGCCTGGCTATCACGCCGCCTGCGGCCTGCAGGCATGGCAGGGGCATCAGCCGGCCTTGCCAGGAAAGCCACACCGACGCACGTTGGCCCCGTGTGCTCCACCCTGCCCTGCCTCCTCGCCCGCTGCCCGCCCGCCCGCAGCTGTTTGAGGAGGGCTCGCTGGCGGAGCGGCTGCGGGCGCTGGAGGCGCGCCGCGCTCGACAGGAGGCGGAGCTAGAAGTGCTCAGGTGCATGCCTGTGCAGGAGGCTCGCCCCGCCTTGCCCTGCTGCTTGCCTGTCGGTCCCTGCCCTGCCCCGCCCCTGCTCCCTCCGTGCCGCCCTGTGCTGCACCTGTGCCGGCGCACGTGGCTCTGCTGCATGCCCCGCGCCGCGCCTCTTGCGCTGCCGCCTCGCCGACCCGCCGCCGCGCGGCTGCCTGGGTGCAGGGCTGAGCTGGAGGAGCAGCGTGCGCAGCACGAGCGCCAGCTGGCAGCTGTCATGGCAAAGCACGCGCTGCTGGCGGATGAGGGGCAGCGGCGTCAGGCGTCAGGCTGGGGCCAGCAGGCGCCGGGGGCGGCGGCGACCGCCGCCGCCCTGGCCGGCGGCGCGGCGGCGTCTGCGGCGGCGTCTGCGGCAGGGCCGGGCCAGGCGCAGCAGGTGCAGCAGGCGCAGCAGGCGCAGCCTGCCGGCGTGCGGGAGGCCGAGGAGCGGCACGCCGCCGACGTGGCCCGCCTCCTCACCGCCTCCATTTTCACCTCAGTGCTGGCACGGCAGCCGGGTGCAGCGCAGGCTCCGCAGGCTGGGCTGGCGGGCTCCCCCGGACCGGGCGTGCTCCTGGACCTGCCTCCGGGCCGCCAGCGGGCCGCCGACGCCAGCGGCGGCTGCGACGCCTCCCTGCCGCGCTGCCCCCGCAGCTCTGGCGGCAGCTCCAGCCCCGGCCGCCCCGTGCGGCGGCAGCTGCTGAGCGGCGGCTCGCCGGGCGGACCCGGGGCCGCCTCCGCCCGGAGCGGCTCCGACCTGAGCCCGGCGGGCGAGGCGGCGGCCGCGGCGGCGGCTGCGGCGGCCGAGGTGGCGCGGCTGGAGGGCGAGCTGGAGGCTGCTGCGGGGGAGTGCGAGGCGCGCGGGGAGGCGCTGCGCGAGTGCCAGGAGATGGTGGAAGAGCTGCAGGTGGGCGGCGGCGGTGGTGGTGGTGGTGGTGTGTGTGTGTGTGAACGGCGGCGGCGGTGGGGGGTGCTGGCGCGTGCGGCGTGTGGTGTGGCGAGGAAGGAGCCAGCACTCAAGGCTGCTGTGTCTCCTGCTGCGCGTGCTTGGCTCACCGCCCCACCCCGCCGCCTGCCTCTGCAGGCCTTTGCAGAGCAGCAGAAGAGCGAGCTGGCGGGCGTCCGCGCTGAGCTGGCGGAGGCGCAGCGCGGCGGGCGGGAGGGCCAGCTGCGCCTGCGCGGCCTGGAGGAGCGCCTGCTGGCGGCGCAGGACGAGAGCAGCAAGCTGAACAGCCAGGCGCGGGGGTGCTGGGGCGGCGGGGCGCTCGCTTTTGGGCAGGGACGCCTGGTCTGTGTGCCGCTGAGCTGCTCTTTCAATGCCTGCGTGCCTGCGCACCAACACGGCACCCAGGCAACCCCACCCCGCCCACACACACCACCGCGACACACACCACCACAACACACACCACCCGCTTCCCGCCGCCGCAGGTCAGCAAGCTGGAGCGCAAGTGCGGCGCGTACCGGGAGGAGCTGGCCAGCCTGCAGTCGATGCACGACGGCCTGCAGAGCGAGCACACCGCGGGTGGGTTGACGCGCCTGGTGTGGAGCGCCCGGGGGCAGGCGGCCGCAGAGTTCCGGCTGGCGGCTGCAGAGGCCTGCGCTGCACAGATGCATCCCCGGGCGGCCGAACCGCGGGCACGCTGCCTGGCGGAGGTGCCCCTCCTTCCCTGGCTGAATGCTGCTGCTGCTGGTGGCGCGCTGCCCCCCGTCCCGTGCCGGCTGCCCAGATTCACCCCCCTGTGTGGTGTCTAATCTGGTATCCCCCCCCTCCTCTCCCTGCCGCACAGTGTGCGGCCAGCTGACTGCGGCGCAGCAGCAGCACGAGACCGCGCTGGACCGGCTGCAGCGGCTGGCGGAGCGGCTGGCGCTGGCGCAGCAGGAGAAGGTGGGCGGGCACCCCGCGCCGGAGCGTGCTGCTTGGGGCCTGCACCCTTCAACGTCCAGTGCTCCCGACAATGGGCCTGCTTGGGACGTGCTGGCAGGCCTGCTTGCTTGCGACTTCTCGCCACGACCCCTCCTGACCAGCTCGCACTTTGTTTTCCGCTCGGCGCTGGTTGCAGGTGCAGGCGGAGCAGCAGCTGGCGGCGCTGCAGCAGCGCATGACGCTCCTGAGGTGCGCCGCTGCTCCTCCCCGGGCCTGCGTTGGCGCGCCTGCCAGGCTGCCAGCCTCTTTCGCCGCTTGCCCTGCAGCGTGCCGCATCGCGCTGCGACCTGGCAGCTGAGCCACATGCACGTGAAACGAAACTGCTGGTGCTCTCACACCTGCATGCCTGCCTTCCCCTTTCCACCCCCGGCAACGCAGGGATGAGAGTTCCCATGAGGCCGAGGTGCTGCTGCACGAGCTGCTGGTGCAGCGCCTGCGCGTCTCCTCTGCAGGAGCCAGCAACAGCGCGGGCAGCGGCAGCAGCGGCGCCGAGGTGGCCGGCAGCGGCGGCACCGCCGTGGCCTCCGCCGAGGCCACTCTGGCGCCCAACCTGCACGCCCACCAGCAGCGCCAGCAGCCCCGCCACCCGTCCCCTGCGGGAGGCAGCGGCAGCGGCGGCACCGTGGGGGCGGGCGGCGGCGAGCCGACGCCGCTGCACCCGTCGCACCCGCCGCACGCGGCGCCGCGCGGCGTTCAGCAGCCGCGCCCGCAGGCGCGGCCCGCGTCGGCGCCGGCGCCCACGCCGCCGCTGCAGGCGCAGGACGCGGGGCGGCGGGCGCTGCCGGCGGCGGCCACCCGGCTGCCGCCGCACCTGCTGCACCTGCGGCGGGTCGAGGGCGGCAGCGGAGAGCACACGCCGCACTCTGCTCGATCGGTGGAGAGCGCCTGGTCAGACTCAGGTGGGCCGGTGGTGGTGTGGTCGAGCCTGGGGTGGTTTGTTCGGGTTATGGAGGAAGGGTGTTGCTGTGACTCTTAGAGACAGCCGCCACAGAAGCACGTGCGGTGGTGCTCTGTGCGGGAAACGGCGGCTTGGCTGCCTCGCGGCCTGCCAGGCGCCCTCGCTGTCGCCGACCCTCTCCCCCGCGCCCCGCCGCCGCCGCTGCTGCTCCTGCCGCAGTGGCAGAGCTGGCGCCTGCCCTGGAGCAGAAGAAGAAGAGGAGGGGCGCGCTGCACAAGCTGGGCAAGATGCTGCGGGGCGGCGGCGGCGGCACGGTCGCCAAGGCGGGGCTGGTACCGGCGGCGGTACCTGGCCCGGGCAAGCGGCCCGATCCCGCTGCGCTGACCGCCCCTCTGGAGCACAGCATGCGAGAGCACGAGGCGACGGTGCTGCAGGAGGGTGTGCTGCAGGAGCGGGGGCAGGCAGGGCATGCGCCGGCGCCGGCGCCGGCGCACGAGCGGCAGCAGGCGCAGCAGGCGGAGCGGCGGCGGCAGCGGCAGGATGTCCAGCCGCCGGCGCCGCCGCCGCAGCAGCAGGTCGAGCCGCAGCCGGCGGCGGTGCCGGATGCCATCTGGCGGCACGTGCAGCAGCAGCAGCAGCAGCAGCAGCAGCAGCAGCAGCCGCCGCCGCCGCAGCAGCAGCGCGTCCAGCGGCAGCAGGCGGAGCTTGAGCGGCGGCAGCTGCAGTTCAGCGCCGCCGAGGATGCGGCCGCGGAGCAGCGGCTGTGGCAGGGCTACGCCGGCTGGGGCCAGCAGCCTCCGTCGCCGCCGCGCCACCAGCAGCAGCACCCTGCCCCCTTCGTCGCCGCGGCCGCCGCAGGAGGAGGGGGCCGCGGCCCGCTGCAGGAGGTCCACACAAACCTGCTGGCCCCGCCGCCGCCGCAGCAGCAGCTGCGGCCCAGCAGCGCGGCCCTGTCTGACTGCCCGCCGGAGGGCGCTCGCTACTGCTACCCAGACGCGGCCGCCGCCGGCTACATGGCCGGCCTGGCGGAGGCGGCGGAGGAAGGAGCAGGCGGCGAGGGGCTGGCGGCGGCGGAGGCAGCGGCCGCTCGGGGGCAGCGCTGGCAGCAGCGCCGCCTGCACGTGGTGCACAGCAACGCGCTGTTTGGCGGGGAGGACTATTCGGAGAGCACCTACTGATGATGAGGGGCGTTGCCCCAACTCAGCCCGCATTTTCACGGTTTGCGGTTGTTTGCACTGCTTTTGCCACCTGCGCCCCAAGCCATTTCCGTTGCACAGGACGAATGTCATCAACCTATTTACAGTAAAGGGCAGGATGGGGTTGCCATAGGCGTACAGCTGGTGCGGGGGGCAGGCAGTGACCAGGCGGTGCGCTGCGGGCGGCGACCGGCAGTCGTGAGGCGGCCAAAATGGAACCACCCCCAATCCGCCTGATTGGCACGGCCGGCACTCCTCTCTGGCCGCTGCTTGCAAAGGATCGTCCAGAGAGAGCTTGTGGAGAGGCGAGGGCGCGGAAATCAACGCCTTACCCCCGATTTTTGAAAAACCTTTCCCCGATTTCTGCCTGGCTCGTTTCCCTCCGCCCCATCGCTCCTTTGCCCAGCCCCATCCAACCCCTTGGGATCCCAGGAAGGCCGTCCAACGCCGCATCGCCCCATCCCTGCCCGGCGATCCAGCTTGTGCCGCCAGCATGCAGACCTCTGCGCAGATCTTCAGGGCGGGCGCCTCGCCGGCAGTGGCGGCCCGTGCAGCCCGACGCAGCTCCGTCGTGCGCTGCCAGGCGCCGCAGGGCCTCTCCCCTATCCAGGAGGCCGCCAAGGGCGCTGCCCTGGCCGCTGCCACCCTGGGACTCGTGCTGGTGAGCGGGGCCCGCGGAGAGGGGGCGTGCATTGCTGGCGACGGAATGCCAGCGGCGGCGGGTGGGGTGCGGACGCACCAACACCACGCCCGCAAAGCACAGACGTACTAGCTGGCACGGCCTTGCTTGTGGCGGTGGCGGCACATGCAATGCATGCACGCGGGCTCGGAGTGGCCCCCAGCAGCATGTCATCGGCAGCCCAGCCGCCACGGCACCGCGCGGCCGGCTGCTGGGCAGGCGGTCGCACGGCACACGCCGTGCCTGCACCGTGCCTTCCCTGGCCTGCTTCCCCGACCGCCGCGCTGCATGTGCTGCCCTTCCTGCCTGGCTGCTGCAGGGCAGCGGTATGCCGGCGCTGGCCGCCAAGCCCACGCCCTCGGCCTTTGAGCAGCGTGCGGCGTATGAGCAAGAGCTGCTGGTGGGTGCTTTGCTGGTGCAGCTGGGATGGAGGAAAGGGGGGGAGGGCTGGAGGTGCATAGGAATTGCAGCTGGGGCCAGAAGGGAAGGCCTGGACTTGAGGGCTGTGGAGGAGGGCTGGAGGGAGCCAACGCAGGCCGCGCAGAGCTGGGAGGGCAGCAGAACGGGGCGGCAGGGAGGAACGCAGCGCAAGGGAGTCGTCTGAGGTGGGCATGCGGAGCGCTGGGCCCGGCTGTTCACCACTGCCTGCCCCTTTGCTTGTGGCCCCGCCTGCCTGCGCTGCAGGAGTCGCTGAAGGCCCGCGGCAAGGACCTGCCCGCACTCACCTCCTCCCCAGAGGCAAGCTGACATTGCCGAGCTGCCTGCCTGCTGCTGCAGCATTTGCTGCATCCCGCCGCTGCACCGAGGCTGTGCTGACAGGGCGAGGCAGCCAGCGGAGAGAGTGCGCGGCGGCGGCCGTACGCAGGCAGCAGCCTAGGCTTTGCCTGATGCGCGGGGTGAAGCAGCTGCGTTCGCTCGCGAGGCAATTTCTCCTGCTCACCCCGGCCCTTACCCAACTCGCTGCCTCCAACAATAATGTTATGTGCAGGGCACTGTGGCGGCCCCTGAGACCAAGGCGGCCCCCCTTAAGCTGGGGTGAGCGGGCTTTGCAGTAGGGGAGGGGCAGGGTGGTTGGGCCGCATGATGCGACGCTGCCGAGCGGCCGCCACCTGGACCCATCCAGAGCCCGTGCTCTGCCAGCCAGGTCGCTACCACTTGTTGCTGAGCCTGAGTCAGTCACTGCCTTGTCAGTCACCTTCTGTCGCTACCGGCGCTCCACTTCCGCAGGCCGATTGAGAAGGTGACCATCGACACGCCCGAGGCGGTGCCCACCCCCGCCCCTCCCGTCCCTGGTGCGCCTCGCCTCAGCATGGTTGTGGGATGCAGCCGGCTGCTGGGGAGGCTTCCGGGCCGCTGGTGGGGATGCCTGGGAGCGGCATGGAGTGCTAGCGTGCAGCAGCCACCAGCCAGACCCGTTGGCTGCCAGCTCCCTGCCGTTGCACCAACACGCCTTGCCTTGCCTTGCCTTCACTCTCGGTGCCCCGTGATGCTGCAGCGACCGCCGTGGCTCCCAAGCCCACCGTGGCCCCCGCCCCGGCGCCCGCCCCCGCGCCAGTCGTGAAGGCCGAGGCCCCCGCGCCGGTGCCGGCGCCCGTGGTGCCCAAGGCTGCGCCGCCGCCCAACGCCTTTGGCAGCAGCTCTGGCCCCTCCGCCGCGGCCGCCGCCTCGCCTCTGGGTGAGCCGCCCTGGCCTGCCGATGCGCCGGCGTCGGGCTGCGGGTCTGTTCTGCAGTGCAGGTGGTGGCAGCCATGGGGCCCGCTGTGCCGACCACGGCAGGCGCCGGCTGTCGCTGTGCCACACGCCTCGCTGCGCCTCTCACCCCGCTCCCTGCGCCTGCCGCCGCGTGCCTGCCCCAGCAGGCAACCAGGGCCTGATTGCCGGCGCCGCCGTGGCCACCGTGGCGATTGCGGCTGTGGCGGTGGCCGGGTCTCAGGGCAACCTGGAGGGCGCGGTGGCCGGCAACGGGGCCGCCCCGGCCAGCTCCTCTCCTGGTGGGTGCTCCCTGTGACAGGATGGGATGGGAGGGGAGGGTGTGCGTGCACGCTGTGCTGGCAGCCACCACGGCTGCAATCAGCTGCTGCTTCTGTCTCCGGTCGGCGCCGCCCCTTTGCTGCTGCCTCCACCTCTGGCCGCTGCGCGCGTGCCGACCGCCCCCGTGCCTCCTCCACTTCCATGCCTGCAGCGGCCAGCGGCAGCAGCAGCGTGCCTCCCAACGTGGCCGAGGCTCGCGCCTGGATCGCGGCCTGGAAGTCCAAGCACGGCAAGTGAGCTTGCGGCCGGCTGGATGGCTGCCCTGGCGCCGCCGGCTGCCGGCTCCCGCGGCACGGCATGCTTCGCTGGAGGGCTGGGCTGCCAGCGCTGGCAGGTCGGCCTCGCAGCGCTGAGCTGCGGTGGCAGCGACAGCCGGCAGGTGAAGGGAGCAGTGGAAGGGGCAGCCTCCAGCGGGACCCCTGTCACCTCCCCGCCACGCCGGTGGCTGCTGTCGCCACGCTGTGAACCCTTGACGCAGTTTTTTTCTCTATTTGCGCCTTATTTATGGGTGCCCCATTTTTTTCGCGTGCGGCGCGGGTCCCTGTCCCGCCCCCAGACCGAATTGCCTTGTTGCTTGCGCCATTGTTTAGAGATTGCTTGAGAAGAGCCCACTCGCCCCCCGGGTTGTTTTGCCAAGCCAAACTGATCATCCCTCCTGCTGTGCCCACCCAACTGACCTTGCGTGTAACGAGCGGCATGCGGCCAGGCTCACATGGAGGTGTGGGGCAGTGTAGTGGGCAGGAGGGTTGTGCTGGGCGATGGATACAGAGGCAGGGCAGGCACGTGGCGGCGCCCGTGTGGCAATGGTGGCGGCGGTGGTAGAAGCTGCGGCATGGCGTCCAGACCATTCCTGCACGCTCCCTTCAGCTAAAACCATCCTGAACTTATGATCAGAGTGGCCAGAACGCGCTTGGGCGAGTCCCTGCTCCGCGTCTGGTTTCGGGCACCGGGGGACGTCTCCAGCGTGAGCAAGCTTGTCGCTACGTGCTCTGAGATTTGCCAGCAGACCAACCTGTGATGCTGGGCCACACCACTGGTGGGCTCCACCACCACGACCGCTGCCGCCACGGGCGCTCGCAGCTGGCCGCCGCCACGCCACATCCTTGCACTTGCCTGCGGGCTCCCGTCCTGCAGGCGAACAGCATAGATGGACTCGCAGTCTGTAGCAGGCGTGGCATTGCTGCTGTCCCCAGCTGCCTCCAATCACTTCACGGCAACGCTACAGCATCCCCCGCTGCGCCTGCCGCAGCGACACAGCCAGCCAGCCCTCGCCGCATGCACCGCAGCAGCAGCAGTCACGCCGCCAGCAGCAGCCCTGCGCCCGGCCAGGCGTCAGCCTCTTCAGCAGCCGCTGCAGCAGCCTCCCCGCAAACCGCGTCAGCCCCGGCAGACATTGCCGACCTGCCCGCCAAGCTGGAGCTTCTGGAAGCGGCGGGCATCGCGCGCGCCGCCGCGCTGCAGCGATACACCCCCTTCCTGTGCAGCCCCGCGCACCACATCGCCGTGCGCCTCGCCTTCCTGCAGTCCCGCGGCAAGCTGCGGCAGCCGCCCCGGCTCTACCAGGTGGGATCTGGTGGGCTTGGTTTGGAGTTGTGCTGTGGTTGTGGCGCTGGGGCGCAGACGTGTCAGCTGCTCAGCCTGTGACGGCCTTGGCTCTCGCCCTGGCTGTGCCCCGCCACTCCTGAGGCCACCCTGGTGTCCCCTGCTCTCCCCCGCATCCGTGCAGGTCATCTGCCCCAGCGACACTGAGCTGTGTGAGCTTCATGGGGAGCAGCTGGAGGAGCTGGCAGGCTTCAAGCGGCGCCACCTGGCATCCCAGGCCTGGCACCAGTTCTGCGAGCGGCACGGCGTGCAGCAGGCGCAGCCCGAGGCGCAGCAGCCGGCGAGCGGGGCGTGACCAGCCGCTCCCGCTGCTACCGTAGTGGCAGCTCATGTTCTCATCACAATCATGGATGCTGCTGGTGCACTGCTCTTTCCCTGGTGGATGGGCACTGGGATTGCAATTTGCGGTGCCCAGGCAAGCGCATATGCAAATAATGAAAGCGGTTGCGGCACCAAACCTTGAACTCAAAGAAAACTGCTACAGGCGCTGCTGCTACTGCTGCTGGGCGGGAATGGCGGTGCTGGTGCTGACCTCCAGCAGGCGGCCGTCGGCGTCGTACAGGCGGGCCATGACCAGCAGCATGTCAGGCTGGGGGCACCAGCAGGTGCTCACCCGCAGGCCCCTGCAATGGGAGCAGGGAAGGAGAGGCAGGGATGGAGTTGAGCGGCAGGAGTCCCCTGGCGACCCGGTCTGCATCCTCTGCCAGTGTCTGCGGGCGCCCCATGCACGCACTCTGCAGCCAGCTCGACGCGGCCTCCACACCTGCGCCGCTGGTTGTCCAGGCGCAGCGTCTCCAGCTGCACGCCGCAGGAGTGGGGCAGGCGCAGCAGGGCGCCGTCGCCGCCGTCCTCGGGCACCCGCACGTCAAAGCTGCGCAGCGTCTCGGCGGCGGTGTAGAGGGTGGAGGGGGCGGGGAGGCCGGTGGACATGCTGACGTCATCCACTGCAGGCCAGGAGGAGCGGCGGCGCGTGAGGTTGCCGGTGATCGGCAGGCCTGGGGGGCCCACAACAGGCACGCTACTTGAAGCTTCCCTGTGTGCTGCACGGGCACCACTTAGCCCTGAGCCTACCCGTGACAGCCGACACCTCAAACACCTTCCAGGAGCCGGTGAGCGCCTGAGAGTCCAGCAGCACCCTGCAGGGCGGCAGCCGCAGCCGCGCAGCAGCGCCGCGTTCAGTCAGCGGCTGCGGTTTGCAGCACGCGTGCGCCGCTGCAGCCGCCTGGCCCGCCAGCCCTCACCGCCTGCTGGCCTCCTGCTGCTCCGCCTCGCCGTCGCTCTGGGAGGAGGGGTTGTAGGAGCCCGGCAGCCCCTCCCAGGCCTCGCGGCTGACCGCCACCCGCAGCGGCTGGATCTCAAGGTCGGTGCCGTCGCCGCCGCCTGCAGGCAGGCACAGCGGCAGGCATGTGGTGGACAGAGCTGCGAGGGCCTGTTCTTGTGCCGGCCCCTGCAGGCTGGCAGGTGGTGCGGAGTTAGCCAGCCGGCACCGCCACCAGCGTGAGTTTGGCGGCCCCCACCTGCTGTGTCCAGTGTCAGGCGGATGCGCAGCCGCTGCTCTCCCCCCCACTGCATGCAGTGCTCAATCACCACCGCGGTCCTGCAGCGCAGCATGGCATCGTGCAGGGGCAGACACGCGCATGCCAGTCAGCGGCTTCACAGCAGAGCCAGGGAGCCAACCAAGGTGCCACATTGAACGCATGGCAGCCCGCTGGCTGGCCTACCCACGCACCACCACCCACCAGTCAAACTCAGCCTGCTCCTGAGCGGTAATGGCCTCCACGTCAACCTGCCTGCCGCTGCCGCCCTCGTCCTCCTCAGCCCCCTCCTCACCCTCCTGCAGACGGGCAGCAGCGGCAGCGGCAGCGGGCAGCGGGCTGGCAATCAAGTGCTGGTAGGCTCCAGCAGCGCCCGACCGCCCGGCAGCCGCCACCACACCCGGCACACCAGCCTAGGGCACAGCAGCCCTGGCCTGCAGGCGCACCTCTGCAATCAGCTCCAGCGAGTCGACCGCCGACTCCGCCGCCATGGCCGCCTCCAGCGCCGCCGTGGCCGCCAGCGCCGCCATGTCGTCAAACTCGACCTGCGCCGGCGCCTGCACCTCCTCTGGCGAGCCTGCGGCGACAGGTCGGGGCCGGGACGGCAGGCCGCAGGCTCAGCAGGCAGTAACACTCCACACAAGCAAAAAGGGTGAGCCGGCCATGGCGAGGTGCTGAAAGCTATGCTGGCTCGCCAGCAGCAACGCAGTCCTACCAAAGCGGCAGGGGCAGCAGGCAGCGCAGCGGGGCTCACCAATGACGCTGGGCCCCAGGCTGTAGCTGCCGCCGTCAAACACCACCAGCCCCTCCTGCTCGGAGCTGAACCGCTCCTCGTCCCAGCACTCGGCCAGGCGGCCGCCCGCCGCCGCGGTGGTGGAGCAGGCCGGAAACTGCAGGCGGACACAGACGGAGGCAGGGACTGCGGGCACTCAGCGCATGCTGCGTGCACCGACATGGCTATGCAAAGCGTGTGAGGGGCAGGTATGTTGCTGTTGAAGGCGACTCTGCATTGTTTTGGCTGATGCTGAAGCGGCAGACGCCGTGGCACGTGCAGGGCACCTGCAGCTGCCCCCCCTGCACCATCTCTCGCTGCAGGCCCTCCGGGGTGGCGGCGCGTGCCATGTGCCTGCAGCGGGGGCGGCAGAGGAGGCAGACTTGCTGAGCTGGAACCGCACAGGCCGGCCCGCGGGTGCCAGGCCCGGTGCCACAAAAGCACTCCGCCGCCACAAAGCAAGTCCAGCCCGCTCGCCCATGCCGTGTCCTGCAGCACCTACAAACTGTACACCCCAGCACCCGTGGGGGGGTACCAGGCACCTGCCCCCGCCTCCACCCCCCACACACGCCCGCGCGCCCACCTGACCACGCTGTCGGTGCCGGCCTCCTCATCCACCACCCGTTGCTCCACGCAGCACTGGTGCAGCAGCGTCAGCGGCTTCCTGCCGTCGTCCAGAGCCAGAGGCTCGGGCTGGCCTGCAGGCGGGTGGCCAGGCGGTGGCGCGCGGCTCTCAGTCCAAGATGCATCGGCAGAGGCAGCCGGATGGCCATCCAGCCAGGAACCAAGCATGCGAAGCCTCCTCCAGCGACGGCGTGACCCCAGCACCAGCACCAGCAGCCAGCCAGCCGCCACGTGCCTGTGAAGGGGCTGTACGCCGCGGTGATGCCGCACCACAGGCCATTTGTGACCCCGCAAAAGGTGGACCAGAGCGGCGCGGGCATGCGGTCTGCGGTGCTCAGCTCTCCCTTGACATGCATGCGCAGAGGGGGCACCAGGTACGAGGGCTGCTCTGGCGCTGCCTTGCGCGGCGCGCTGGCCGGCTGCTGCTGCCTGCTGCGCGGGGCGCCGCCGCCGCCGCCCCGCCGCCGGGCGGTGCCGCCCTTGCCGCTGCCCCGGTTGCTGGTGCCCTTGCTGCTGCTGCCGCTGCTCCCGCTGCTGCCTTTACTGTCTGCGTTTGCCGAGCAGCGGAAAGCCGCTCCCCTAGGGTGCCGTGGTGCCAGCGGCGGAGCTGCGGGGCGGGGAGGCAGGGAGACAGCGGCAGCAGTAGGGCGGCGGCGGCAAGTGGCCGGTGGTGCAGGCGGCAGCCGATGCGAGCCCTCAGATGCACGCGATTATCTCTGGGCATGTGTTTGCTGCAGGCAGAGCCCTTCAGGGCACACATGCAACGCACCTCGGCATGGGGCACAGTTGCAGGTCCGCAGGCCTGTGGCACCTATCACAGTACTCATGCTGCTTGCTGCTGCAGCCGGGCTGCCCCCCGTTCGTGAGCAGTAGACCCGCAGCACTTGGTGGGGCAGCAGCCACGTCCAGGCAGCGGCGGCTCGTCAATTGAGCTCGACCGGGATCGGCAGAGGCCTGATACGGCGTGCAAAAAATTGTTTGCCAGCGAATGCCACGTTGCAAGCAAAAAATGAGGCACGCCCGTTTGGGGCTGTTTCCCCCACAGATTGCAGCGCCCGGAACCTTGCAGAGAGACCGACAGCCGTCCACAGGCAGTCGGTTCCTTCCCATCGATCAATCGGACTCGCACTTCACTGCCTGCCGCTCCCCCCAGCACAGGCGAGCACCTGCGCAGGGCCATTTGCTTCTCACCAATGCGCCTGCAGGTCGGCAGGTCGAGAAAGCTAGGAAGGAGCGTCTGCCGCCCAGGCGACGGACCGCCGTGCGGCGTGCGCCGAGCACGCACAGCCCATACACCCGTGCCGCAGGTCCCAGGCAGAAATAAATGTACGACTTCTGCTTCACACCCATCTACGCCGCGCTGCTGGCCCTTGGCGGTATCATCGGCTTCATCAGCAAGGGCAGCACCGCCTCGCTAGGTGGGTGCGCCGCCTGCCGCAGGCGGTGTGGCTTGCGGGGTGGAACACAAGCCGCAACACCCACTGCCACTTGTGCTCGCCGCCGTCCCTGCGCAGGCGGCGGCCTGGGCTCTGCAGCTGTGCTCTCGGTCTGCACCTATGTGTCGCTGCAGTCGTACCACCGCGGCCACCTGTGCAGGCCTGCCACGGTCGTCTCGCTAGGTGGGTGAGCCGGAGGTGGCCTGGTGGCCTGGTGCCTGCTGCAGCTACGCTGCTGTGCCTTTGCTCACCACTGCTGGGCTGTGCTCAGCCTGTTCCTGGTTTGCTGCTTCCTTGGGAAGCGCAACATTGCTGTACATGCCCACGGCTGCTGCTGCCTGGCCTCCTCGCTATCCCGCAGTGGTCAGCAGCTTGCTTGGGTATGTGATGTGGCAGCGGTACAGCCGCACAGGCAAGCTCATGCCTGCTGGCCTGGTGGCGGGACTCAGGTGGGTGGGAGCAGGGAGCAGGGTTGGGGTTGGCTGCAGTCCGGCCTCTGCGTGTGTGCTGCCGGGTGCAGAGCCTGGATTGACGCAGCTGCGCCACAATGGTGCCTGCCCTCACCCGGGCCCGCCACCTCCCCCTGCTGCAGCGCCGCCATGACTGCTTTCTACCTCTGGAACCTGCTGCTCTTTAAGCCCAACCTGCCCGCCCCCAAGCAGCAGTGACGGCAGCGAATGGGCCGTGTACCAGCAGCATGCCTGGCACGCATCAGCAGGGGGAGGATGACCTGCAGCTTTGACATGTGTCCACCGTAATGCATAGTAATGTGACTGTCACCAGCGAGGACGATGGACAAGGAATGCAGGGACACCTCAATGGAAGTGCCAAAAACTTCGATGCCTAACAACATTACAGTTGCCTCGCTACCCTGCCAGGGTGCTGCCAAGGTGCATCACAAATTCAGCCGGCAGGCCGCAAAGTCGCTACAGGTGTGATGTTGGGCGGGCACAGTCAGTACACGGGCTCTAGGAGAGGGGCTGCCAGCTGGCTGCCGCATCAGGGCAGCCGGCCCCGGCGCGCTACCGCTCCATGCCCCGCACCGCCGCCTCCTTGGCCTCGGTGGCAGCGTCCCGGTGGCCCAGCCCCTCCACCGCCGCCGTGCCGTCGGCCGGCTCGGCCAGCGGCGCCAGGCGGGACGCCTCGGTCTCGCGGTAGTGCCCCTCGATCTCTATGCCATAAGAGTATGGCAGCACAGAGGAGTCGACGGCTGCGATCTGCGCAGACAGCGCAGGCAGCGAGTTCAGCGGCGGCAGGTGCGACCGGGGCCTCACGCTGCTGCCTGGGCTGGCCGCTGCATGCCCACCCTCCCCTACCCCATGCTGCTGGCAGCAGGCGCGGCACCCACCTTGGCCTGCGTCCAGGTTCCGTCCCGCTGGCGGTACATCACGATCTGGCCCTTGGTGTAGTGCTGCTGCGGCAGCTGTTGTGGTGCCGGCTGCGAGGTGCTGCTTGGGCCGACCGCCGCCTCTGCTGCTCCGCCTTTTGCTCGACGCAGCGCGGCCTCGGCCGCCGCCTGCCGCGCATCTGCCGCCGGCACCGTGCCACCGCCCAGCTTCTTCCCGCTGGCGGCCGCTGTCTGCTGCATCACTGTCTGCTGCTCAGGAGGCAGGTGGTAGTCGACAGTGCCCTCAAAGGCGGGGCCTGCATGCGGGCAGCAAGGGCGCAGGTGGTTCCGTGACCAGAAGATGCGGGTTGGGTTGGGGGCGGGCGGTGAGCGCCGCTGAAAAAGGCCGCCTCTACCAGAAAGCTGCAGAAAGCTGCACGCTAATACGTCAGCCATGCGTTGCACCTGCCAAGCTGAGTGCTGCCGCTCCGCGCCAGTCAAATGCGTCGCACTCTCGCCGCAGCTGCAGAGCAGGGGATGCGGGCGGCGGTTGGCGGTGGCAGCGCAGCAACACGCCCAGCACCTGGGGGCAGGTGTGAAGCCCAAGTAGCTTCGAGAAGAGGTGCTGAATGCCTCCTGAAAGGTGCTGAGGAAGTGTGGCGGCGGCGACGGCGCAAGGGGGGGCAGTTGAAAGCGGCGGCAGGCGGCGCGCTGCAGCAACGACGAGGGCTCGCGCAACGATGTGCGCTGACCTGTATCTGCAGTCGCTGCCCTATGTTTCGATATTGCGCAGCAGCAAGGGCGAACAGAAAGCGAAAGTTGCCCTCGGCTGTGTGGATAACAGGCCGCCAAGCTAAATCGAATCGCACGATGGTGCGTGTGAGGCGAAAGAACGGCGGCAAAGCGCGCGGGGCGATAAGTGGGGGTGCGGCGGCGGCGGGACGGCACAGCGGCAGAAGCGCGCGCCAGCGTTCCCTCGACCTGTCCCGCTGCTTTTTCCGCTGGCCCGGCCCTGAATGCGACTGGAACCTCAAGCTCCCACTCCTGAGCCTGCCTCTTGCCCCGCCGACCACCCCGCGGGCAGCAGAAGGTGTGGGCAGTAACATTTGCCAGGCGCCGCAGCCCCCACCCTGTGCTCACCTGCGAGTTGAGCTCCTTGAAGTTGTCGTCGTGCTCGCCCCACACCATGTGGGCCAGCTCATGCAGCAGCGTCTCCCTGATCCGGTCGTACCGGCGGAACCTGCAAGCACAGCGCGGCGGCGGCGGCCGCCGCTGCTCACAGCGGCTAGCCTGGGCGCAACACATGCCGCTGCGGGCAGTGCGGAGGCCGCCGGATCGCTGGCTGCCCGCTGCCCAGTCGGCAGCCACGCGGGCGGTCATGCGCTCACCCATGCAGGTCGTCTGTGCGCAGGCGCAGGCTGATCTCCTGGCCTCGGTTGATGTTGACGCCCAGGATGCACACAGGGCTCACCCCCACCTTGCCCTCGGGGGGCATCTCGCTGCGTCGTGCAGGCGGAGGAGGAGGCGGGCAGCCACGGGCAGTGGAAGGTGAGCGCTGGCGGCTGAAGAAGGCAGGGGCAAGCAGGCCAGGTGCAGGGCTGCCAGGCTGGAGGGCAACAAGCGGTGGCATGCATGCAGCAGGCAGGGCCAGCGGCAGTTTGGGGTCTGCAGACCGGGGAGGCTGCACTGCCGGCCGCATTCCTCTGCTGCCTCACCTGAGCAGGCCCACCGTCCACTTGTGCTTGCCCATCACCCCCACAATGCCGGGATCCGCGGCCAGCCTGCAGCGGCAAGGAGACGTGGATGCAGGAGGCACCCAGGGTGTGGCAGCGGCCAGCGAGCGAGCTGCCGCAGCTGCTGTCGAGCAATGCGTGGGAGACGTGGCTGGCTAGCTGGAAGTGGTGGCTGCTGCGCAGCAGCAGCTCACTGGGCGGCATGGCCAGCCTGTGGCAGCTGGATAGCCCTCCTTGTCCCTCTCCCCCACATCCAGCCAACCTGTGCAGCAGCTTGAGCGCCTCGGATGGCGGGGGTGTGAGCCCCGACCGCTGCCAGGCCTCGTACCGCTGGAAGGTGTGAGGCCCTGCGGGCGGGCCCTTGGCCGCTGGCGCTGCCCCCACCCGCCGCAGCTCCCGCCGCAGCTCTTGCTCAAATGATGCCATCCTGCCGTCCTCCCGCGCCGCTTGCACCGCCTCCACGTCCGCCTGCCGGCTGGCCAGCATCTTGACGCGGGCGCCATCGCGCAGGCCTGCAGGTGGGGCAGAGTGCTCTGAGCTGAGGAGGGACGGGATGGCGGCTGGCAGCAGCAGGGGCGGCGGCCAGGAACGCCACACCCGACGGAGCAAAATGCAACACCTCTTGTGCCATGCACCCACCTGCCTCCTGCACCGTCACCCCCGCCTGATCCTCTCCCAGCCGCAGAGCGCCCTTGCTGCCCGGCACCAGCAGCTTGATGGTGTGGGGGGCCACCGAGAAGCGGTCGGCGAGCGCGGTGGCTAGTTGCTGCAGAGTGCCGTCCGCCGCGACCACCACCTCTGCCGACTCCCTACCGAACTGCACCGTCAGGCGCCGCTGCTCCTGGTGCTGGGTCATCTGGGACCGTCAGGCAGGTGCTTGCGGGCCTTACTAGGAAGCCTCACAGCGGTTCGAGATGGTGCCTCCTGGTTGGCGGCGCCGGAGGCCTGGGAGAGCGGGCACAGGTTGTGCAGCCGATGTTTGCTTCGTTTGCCAGCACCAATTGCCGAAACAGAGCCCACTTCCTCATGCAGCGCTCCGTCTTTCCAAGGCCGCCGAGGTCCCTCTTCACGGGGCCCATTCCAGCCACCAATCACCTGCTTTGCTGCACCGTCCTCTCAGCCCTCCAGCCGCCGCCCTACTCCACCCTTCAGTCAGCGCCGCGCATCAGTGACTGGTGAGTCTGCTGCCCACACATGCGAGCTTGGCCGACGCCAGCGGCAGCGCTGCGTTGCTGAGCGGCCCGCCTGCGGCGCTGCCCAGCCGCGCTGTCAAGTCCGCCATCCCGCTGCCGCCGCCACTATAGTGGCTAGCTAGCGGCAGGCGGCGGGTCGACGAGCGGGCGTGTCCCTCCTTGCTGCTTCCTGCGCTCTGCCCTGCTGCCTATCGCGCCCTGCGATCATCCGCACGGCGCGGGTGTGCAAGGCTTATCGCAAATGCAGCTGCCTGACTGTGTTCCTCCGCCAGCCGCTGCCGGCCTGCGCTCTCACGCTCTCTCGTGCGTGCTGCACCCCCTTCACCCCCTTTCCGCAGTTTGCAAACATGAACCTCTCCGGCAACCAGGACTGGGACACTGTGGTGCTGAGCAAGAAGCGACCCAACGCGTGAGCATGCCAGCGCGTCGGGGTGGGGAGCCCAGCAGCCTGGCATCGGGTCGGCGGGACCCCTTGAGGCACGACCTCGCCGTCAGCTGCCACACTCACCCCTGCCAGCCCCGCTCCTCCGCCTGCCCCTGCAGCGCTGCCGCACAGAAGCCCTCGAACGTCAATGCGGCAATCAGGGCGGGTGCGTTGTCGCGGTGGGGAGGGTCTGCCTCTGCCCCCATTCTGGGTGTCGGGTCAGCCTGCCTGGCTCCCTTTCTGCTGCGCAGTGCTGCTGCATGCACCTGCAGCCTGTCGCCGCCCTCGTCACTGTGCGTATGCCCACCGCTGCTGCCGCCGCCGCATCCTGCTGCTGCCTGCCCGCAGGTGCACAGGTGGACACAGTGAAAAAGCAGACTGGCGGCAATGCCAGCGCTGCACGCGGCCCCATCAAGAGCGCAGGTGCGCTGATGCCGCCGCTGTGCTATGGGCTGCTCTTCGGCTGGCTTCCGCTGCTGCGCTGGTGCCGGGCCGCGCGGGTCGGAGCGCTGTGTGCGCTGCTCACCTGGCTGCCTCACCCGGCGCCCGCCTGCCTGCCCTCCCGCTGCCGCAGCCAAGCTGGAGAACGACACAGAGACGTTTGAGCACGACCGCGTGAGCAGCGAGCTGAAGAAGCAGATCCAGCAGGCGCGGCTCGCCAAGAAGCTGACGCAGGCACAGGCACGCGGGGGGGGAGGCGTGGTGGGCGGGGGATTTGCTGGCCGGCCGGAGCCTACGCCGCTGGTTGTGCTTGTGTTCCCCGCTTCCCTTCTGCTGGCGCTTCCCTTTCACTTGAGCACGGCGTTATGTACTGCTGCTGTACCGCTGCGCTCCGTCCAACCTGCCTCCGACCGCCGCCGTTTCCCCCTCTCCACCCCCCTGCCCCCTGCAGCTGGCCCAGATGATCAACGAGAAGCCGCAGCTGATCAACGAATGTGAGTTAATGCTTGCTGGCTCCTGGAAACTTGCTCAAGTGTGCTGGGAGCCAGCTGAATGGCAGAGCCCAGCAGGCCGCAGCAAACCACGTGCGCATTGTTGCTGCTGCTGCAGACGAGAGCGGCAAGGCGATACCCAACCCACAGGTAGGGCCGTGGGGCTGTTGGTGCAGCACGGGCAGGGTTGTCTGCCGCTGACCAGAGCTGCCGGGCCCTGCTGTTGCTGCTGTTGCTGTTGCCGCCACAGCGAACTGGCTCACGCGTGGCCGCCGCTGTATGCTGAGCACCGCCTGCCCTGCTCCCCTTGTCCGCAGATTCTGTCCAAGATGTCGCGTGTGCTGGGCGTCACGCTAAAGAAGAACCCCGGCAAGAAGTGAGGCGGGCGGGCGAGGCATGTGAGATGTCCTGCAGCAGTGATGCTGCCTGCTGGCTCTCTAGAGATCTGGTGGCGCTGCCTTGTCCCCCGGGGGCCCTCAGCCTGCTTGAGTATTTGATTCTCTGTTGCCTATCCTTCTCTGCTGCGTTCTGCGCTTTGTACCAGTACAGTCAGCGTGCTGACCCTGCTTTGCGTGGGTACAATGTAAGGGTCATGTCCCAGATACAACAGCGGCAGGGCAGAGGCCGAAATGCAAACTGCGGGCGGGCGGGACGATGACAGCTGGCCCAGCAGGCTCAGCGCCGTGGGCGCGGCCTTGGACCAGCCTTGGACCGGGCTGTTCTCTCTCTGAGGCCTCGTTGAACCTGTGGGAGGCAAGGCATGCACATCGGTTTCGCATCGGTTGGAAAAACCATGTCCCGCACCCTGCTTCCTGCGCCAGCGCTGGCGCTGCTGCTGGCCGCGTGCCTGACCTCTGCTGCCCCCCCGCTCGATGCCTGCGACAGGCTAGGCCCCAGAGTGCAGTGCGGTGAGCTGGGTGGCAAGGGTCGCTCAAACCCTTGGAGTAACCTTGGCAGAACCCAACCCAGTTTGCCTGTCTGCTACATGTGGAGCAAGTGCATGCTACGGCGCCTGGGCCCAGCTGTGCTGCCGTGCTGGCTGCCGCCCCCCCAAACACGCTCGCCGCCGCCCCGCCCCGCAGGCTCGATCGCCGTCTCGCAGCGCACCTGCGAGGAGCAGGACTGCTGCTGGACGGTGCAGCCGCTGGACACCGAGCCCTGGCAGCCCGACGTCTTCCTGCCCTCCTGCTTCTACCCCAACACCGGCGCCAGCGAGTATGCGCTGCAGGAGCCGTCTGTCGGCCTGGCCGAAGGCGACATGGGTGCGTGGGAGACGGCTGCCCGCCGCCTACTCACCCAGCCGCCTCCTCCTGCCTGCCCTGCTGCGCCATGCTGGTGCTGTGCCCCGCCTGGCTAGCTTTTACCCGCCTGCCCCGCGCGGTTCATGCCGACTGTGCAGGCAATGCCACGCTGACTAACATGACGAGCACGCAGCCTGAGCTGGGCGGCGACTTCCAGACGGCGGCGCTGAGCGTGGAGGAGTTCACCCCAGGCAAGGCACACCGTCCGCTCCACCCTTCAAGCGCCGGCCAACCTTGAATGCAGCCACCAGCACCCCGATTGGCGGCAGCGGCTGTGCATCGCTGCTGCGCTGGCCCAGGCATGGTGCGACAACTCACATGCATGCCGGCTCCGCTCCCCATGCAGACGTGCTGCGCATCCGCATCATTCCACTCAACGCTAGCGCGCCACCGCGGTGGGAGGTGCCGCCCGAGTTCTTCGCCCCAGATTCCCTCCTGGCAGGTGCGCTCCAGCTGGCTGGGAGGAGGCTGTCTGCAGGGAGGAGGCTGCATGCTGCTCGCCAGCCCCCTTCCTGTGCCCTTGTTTACCTGACAGCGTCCAGATACAGCTGGGGCGCTGTCTGAAGACGGGGCAAGTGTCCAAGACGTTTGCTCCCTTGCTTGCCGTGCAGGTGGCGACGGCGGCGGCACCCAGCCGGTCACTGCCCCTCGCCAGTTTGAGGTGGACGTGGAGGATGCGCCCTTTGGGTTCACCGTGCTTCGCGTGGACCGCCAGAGCGGGGCCCCCCTCGCCACCACCTTCAACTCCAGCGGCCTGCGCCTCATCCTCAAGGCGAGCGCTGGAACGACTTGCTGGCCGCTTGGTGCTGTGTGGTGTCGCCAGCTTCTGCACGATTGCTCTGGCCCATTGCCAAATCCCATCCTTGTGGAACTGTCGCTGCTGTACCACCTTGTACCCCGTCAACGTTGTATACTGCAGGATCAGTACCTGGAGCTGTCTACCCACGTGGACGCCGCCTCCTACATCTATGGCGGCGGCGAGCGCTCCTCGGAGACCACCTACATGACGGTGAGGCCGCAGGGCAGGCAGCTGCAGGGCGCCAGTTCCTGGGCCAGTCCCTGGCCGCAGGCGTCTGCTGTAAAAAAAGGGCAAAAGCCGGCAGCACAGGGTTCCTGCGTCGCCTTTCGTGGCCGCAAAGTTTGCCTGCGCGGCGTGAGTGGATCACGTGGAGCACCCTCCTGCCTGCTTGTCCTTACCATCATTTTGCACACACCTTCACCCCCGCCTGCAGCGCAACGGCTACCCCTATGCTGGGTGGGCCCGGGACCAAAACCCGCAGGTGCCCATGCGCAACACGTACTCCTCCTGGCCCTTTGCGCTGGTGCTGGAGCAAGGTACGGCTGGAACTGCTGCCTGGGGCGATGAAAGGTGGTTCTTGTCTGTGAGCTCCTGAGACATGTCTTTCTTTCTGGCCCGGCTGGCTGCACCAACCCTCATTTGCTTTGATACCTCTGGCCTCTATGCCTGTCCTGTGGCGCAGACGGCACTGCCTGGGGCGCCCTGCTGCTCAACAGCAACGGCATGGAGATGGCGGCCACTCCCGACAAGCTGACCTGGCGAGCCATCGGCGGTGCCATTGATCTGGTGAGCAAGTGTGCGTGGGGTCTGTGTCGCAAGTTCCTTAGGGACATTCAGACATTAGCTGCTATCCAGCTTTCAACTCTCTTGGTGTCTGCCTGGCTGTTCCTGCCAACCCGCCCCAGCAGTTTGTCTTCCTGGGCCCCACCCCACTGGATGTCATCGACCAGCTGACAGCCGTGGTGGGGCGCCCCGTCATGCAGCCTTTCTGGGCCTTCGGCTTCCACCAGTGCAGGCGAGCCATCTCTTGAGTCTCAATCCGGTCTGCGTGCGCGCCTGCAAGTCTGTTCTGCCTGCTTGCTTTCCAGGCTGCCAACCTCCTTGGAAGCCTTGACGTGGCTCCATATGCGCTCCGCTGTGCTGAGCCATGCCTGCTTCGCTCTGTGCTGCAGGTATGGCTACAAGACGGTTTGGGAGGTGGAGGGTAAAGGTAAAGGTAAAGGTAAAGGTAAAGGTAAAGGTGGGGAAGAGCCTCCACAAGCTTAACTTCCCGGTTTTAACGTCTAGCTTTAGACCATTATTTGATCTGCCCGACGCGCCAAGTGCAGTACCCCCCACTAGTAGTGAATGGGTCCCGGGGAGGCCTGTGCCGAAGCCTTGGCGATTCTATTAGGCGTTCCCGAAGGAATTGGCTTGGATTGGCGCTGAGCCGGTCAGCTATGCCGCGTTTGTCCTCACAAAGTTTCGACATGGGAGGAATCGAACCTGTGCCCTCTCGGAGGGTTTAGACACTAGCTCCAGCGCCTTCAAAGAAGGCCTTTCTTAGCCGCGGCCCACACGAGGGTGTTGTGGGCAACTACTCCGAGGCCCGCATCCCTCTGGAGACCATCTGGGTGGACATTGATCATAGTGAGCGCCAGCTTAGGGTCGCTGTTTAAGTCACGTTGCTGGGGTATGGCTGCTGCTCTTGAGGCAGCCAGCATGCTTGCGTTCGTGGTCCAGTTGGGCTGCCGGTTCTTCAGTCAGCATGCCTTTTTGCTGAGCTGCCTCTGCCCCCTCCCTTCTGCTTCGGTAGTGGACGAATACCGCGTATTCAGGTGAGTCTGCCTTGGGTGCTCTTTGCCAGCCGGTGGCCGAGCCTGTGAGCCAGCCCAGCCAGCACATGATGCAGAGCCGCTCGTGCCCCCGCGCAATCCTCGCACGGGTTAATCGTCTCCTTGTGTCAACCTGCTCTGCAGCTTCTCGCCGGAGTTCTATCCCCTCCCAGAGTTTCAGGTAAAACTTGCACTGCCTTTCAATGTTGTCTGTCTGTCTGTCTGTCTGTCTGTCTGTCTGTCTGTCTGTCTGTCTGTCTGTCTGTCTGTCTGTCTGTCTGTCTGTCTGTCTGTCTGTCTGTCTGTCTGTCTGTCTGTCTGTCTGTCTGTCTGTCTGTCTGTCTGTCTGTCTGTCTGTCTGTCTGTCTGTCTGTCTGTCTGTCTGTCTGTCTGTCTGTCTGTCTGTCTGTCTGTCTGTCTGTCTGTCTGTCTGTCTGTCTGTCTGTCTGTCTGTCTGTCTGTCTGTCTGTCTGTCTGTCTGTCTGTCTGTCTGTCTGTCTGTCTGTCTGTCTGTCTGTCTGTCTGTCTGTCTGTCTGTCTGTCTGTCTGTCTGTCTGTCTGTCTGTCTGTCTGTCTGTCTGTCTGTCTGTCTGCACTGCACTGCACTGCAATGCCACCGTGAGTGCCTTGGCTCTGCTTCTGCAGAACTTTGTGTCGCGCCTGCACGCCAATGACCAGCACTGGGTACCAATCCTTGATCCCGGCATTAAGATCGACGAAGGTGAGCTGCTCTGGTCGCAGGCAGGTGCAACGGCACGTGGTCTAGCAAGGGAGTGCTGTGTTATTTTCAGCCGTTTAAGCCGTCTTGCATGTCCTGTTGCAGCAGGGCTGCTGACGTCAGCTCTGGTGCAGCATTCATTGCAATGCCGTTCTTTGCCAGTTCAGGCCCTCACAGAGCCACATGCTCCTCTGCTCTGTCCAGGTTTTGATCCCTACCTGGACGGCCTGCAGCAGAATGCGTATATCCTGGATGAGCGTGGAGATCCCTACATCGGCTGGGTGAGCCCAATTGATCTGGCTCCTCAGCCAGCATCACTTCCCCGCGCTCGCAAGCTTCTCGTTCTTCTTTCCAAAGCTGCCCCTCCTTTCCCCGCCCCGCAGGTGTGGCCTGGCGGCTGCCACTTCCCAGATTTTGGGTTCAATCCCGCCGTAGACGCTTACTGGCTGGCCCAGCTTGACATCTACAACGGCTACGCTCAGTGGGACGGGTTGTGGATCGATATGAATGAGAGTGAGTATTCAGTGTGGGGTGTGGCTGCAGTTGGGTGGAAGGGCAGCTGCCTGCTGGGTTGTGAGCAAGCATACTGCACTGGCACGCGCTACATGGTTGTGCACTCGCCGCCCGGCAGCTGGCATTGCACTCTATCACTTTACAGCCTTACCCCGTGCCCTGCTGTGCTGCCTGCAGTTGCCAACTTCTGCACAGGCAACGTCTGCCACATGCCCACAGCTGGTGGGCGTTTGCAGACTGCACACACACTCCCCCTTACTCAGCCCAGCACCAATGGGGTTGACTGCGCCCACAGTTCGTGCCCTGTGACGATCGACGTACTAACCATGCCCCTGCAGAGGCGGTGGCCAACCAACGCGGCTTCCCGCCGTTCCAGTGCCAGCTGCTGTGCTACGATTCCCTCACCGCGGGGCTCAGCAATGCCGACCTGGCGCTGGTCAGCCCGCCCTACAAGATTGCCAACAGCCTGACTGCGGCCGAGCTTAACTTCAAGGCGAGGCCTGCCTGCCCGCATTGCTGCCATCTTACCTTTGCCAGCTTACCTCTGCCTCGCAGTGTTTCTGGCCATGCTTGCAAACCACGCTCCCAACGCTGCAACTGAGTTGAACATATCCTGGGCCCTCTGTTCCGGCATTCCACTCACAGTCTCCTCCGCCCTCCCTGCGTCGCAGACCTCGTCAGTGCTGGCGCGCCACGCGGGTGACGTTCTGGAGTATGATGCTCACAATTTGTATGGTCTGGCCGAGGCGCGTGTCACGGCTGCCGCCATCCGCCTGATCAAGGGCACTCGCCCCTTCATCCTCACCAGGTGTTGTGTCCGCTTCAGGGGTCAGCCCCTTACATTGCACTGACTTGTCACCAGGACGCGCACAGCCTTACCAACACCATGCTTCTTCGATTCATCCTGAGTTCCGGGCGCCGCTGTGCTATTGCTGAACACACGCGGCTTCCTGGCCCATGACACAGCCGCGGTAGCAGCCTTGCTGCCTGCTGCGCCAAGTGATGTGCTCCTGTTCACTGAGACACACCACTTGCCGGGCGCCACCCCACCCAGCCTGCAGGGCTACTCGCTTGTGAACCACCGACCAGGGACCCCCTGCTCGACGGGCAGGGGACGCGGCGGCGTGGCCATCTACGCCCGCAGCTCTCTGGTGGGTCGGGTCCAGCAGTGGCACAGCTGGGAGGGAGTGGCTTGGATTCAGATCCGGGGGGAGGCTGGCCCCCCGCGATACGTGGCGAGTGTGTACCTGCCGCCACAGCGGACCAGCGAGCAGCTGGCTGCATTTTATGGGAGATTGCAGCAGGATGTCCTCGCTGCACAGGCGGCTGGCGGCACGGTATGCATTGGGGGGGACCTCAATGGCCGCACCGCCAGCCTGCCAGACTGGGTGGAGAGTGAGGAGGGGCGCACTCTCCTAGACCGCTGCGTTGCGCTGCCCCCCCGCGCTAGCTGCGACGGGGAGGTAAACCCCCAGGGGCGGGCGCTCCTGGGTTTCTGCGCTGCCACGGGCCTGGCTATCGCCAATGGGCGCCTAGATGGTGACCAGCAAGGGGAGTGGACGTTCCACTCCCTGGCACATGCCGGGAAGAGCCTGGTGGACTACTTCCTGTTGAGCGGGGAGGTGGTGGGCCGGGCTGGGAACAGGCTGCTGGTGCAGCCCCCAACAGATCGATTCGACCACGCCACCCTGCGCCTGCAGCTAGCGGGTGATTCCCAG